GGGGGGAGTGAAAGTTGAAGACGTTCGTTCCATGCACCTCACATAGCACCGCCTCCACTCATGCTCCTCCCTTTCTCGTGTCCCTCTCTCATCTCGCCCAGACGCTTCTGCTGTGGGAGATCCGAAAGGAGTCACCTCACCACATGCGAGTGCTGGCAGCAGCAGTCAGGGCCATGGCTGGGGAGGAGGGGGAGGGGACGGAGGGTGGGGGAGCAGGGAGGGAGATGAGGAGGGAAGGGAAGGGAGGAGGCGAGGGCAGGGAAGGGAAGGGAGGGAAGGGGAGGGAAAGGAAGAGGAGTGATGGGGTGGGGGTGGAAGATAAAGCTGGGGTGGATGGGAGGGAGAAGGAAGAGGGAAAAGAGAAGGCGGAGGGAAGGGAGAGGACGTGGAGGGTGTATCCTGAGGTGGAGATTGGCAGAGTGCTGCAGGTGAGATCAAAACTCCTCTGCCCTTTTCCCACTTTTCGCCCTCTTTCCAAACTACATCAGGAGCTCTCAGTTAATTCAACACTCAACAAAATCCCTTCTTCCGTGTCTCTCCCCGTTCCCCATTTTTCTCTATCTCCTCGCCTCCTCTCCTCCTCTCTCTTACTCCTCTCCTCTCCCTTCCCCTCTCCTCGTCACGCCATCAGGAGTTCTCAGTGGATCCGACACTCAACCCCCATCTCCCATCCTCCCCACCCCCACCTGTCTAATCCCCTCTTACCCCCTTCCTCCTCAAAACACCACCAGGAGTTCTCAGTGGATCCGACACTCAACCCCCACCTCCCATCCCTCGCGTCTCAAGAATCCCTTCCCTCACCTTTCACTACCTCCCCCGCTCTTCTCTCTCTCCCCCTCCTCTGTCCGCCATCAGGAATTCTCAGTGGATCCAACACTCAACCCCCATATCCCATCCCTCGCAACCAAGTAAGCTTCACTCGTGTGCCTGCTTTCCTGCAATGCCCCTCCACTGTATCGCCATCTTTTCCATCCCTTGCCACTCGCAGCCTCAGCCCTGCCAGAGCATATGCACACAGACTTGCCTTTCACCCACCTCACTCCTCTCTGTTCCCCACCCCCACCCCCACCCCCAACCCCACTACACCCCCACCCCCTATCCTGCCCCCACTCTACAGGCTCCTGCGTGCTCTCACTGGCCTCATAGCACCCCTCCACCTGTGTCGGCAGCTCTTCCATCCCTTTCCACTCGCAGTATTAGCTCTGCCAGAGCACTTCACTCACCCCTCTCTCCCTCCCTCTCCATCTCCCTGCCTTCTGCCCCTCCCTCTGCCACTGCCCACCCCACTGCTCCAGGCTCCTGCGTTCTCTCTCTGGCCTCATAACGCCCCTGCACCTGTGTCGCCAGCTCTTCCATCCCTTACCACTCGCAGCCTCAGCGCTGCCAGAGCACCTCACTCACTTTCCTCTTCCTTCCTCTCCCTCTCCCCTGCCTTCTGCCCTCTCCCTGCCACTGGCGACCCTATCCCCCCCTTACCAGGCTACTCCGTGCTCTCTCTGGCCTCATCACCCCCCTCCACCTGTGTCGGCAGCTCTTCCACCCCTTGCCACTCGCAGCCTCCGCCCTGCCAGAGCGCCTGCTCGTGCCGGCCTACTGCCGCCTCGCTTCGCTCGTCCGCACTCTGCTGCTGCTGCACCTCTCTGCTGCTGCCTCAACTTCTGCCACTGCTGCTGCTGCCACTGCTGCTGGTGAACCTCCCCCAGCTCAGGGTGATGCCGCTGCTGCTTCAGGCCGTGCTAATGCACAAGGGCAGGCGCATGGGCATGGGCATGGGCATGCATACAGGCATGGGGATGGGGAGGAATGGAAAGCGGAGGGACAGAGGAGAGGGGAGCAGGGGGAGCAGAGCGAGAGGTTGACCAAGGCTCTCTTTGACGCAGCATGCGTGCAGGTATGCAGCATAATGCAGCACCCTCTGCCCCTCATGCAGTCTCCCTTCCTCACTATCCCCTCCCGTGCTGTCTGTCCCTGCCCTCCCTGCCCCTCCTTTGTCTTCCCCCACACACCAGACCGAGGCAGTGACGTGGTGTGCCACAGTGGTGGCAGCAGACTGCAGCACCCTCTGCCCCTCGCACCTGCCCTCCGTGCCTGCTCCTTACAATCTGCTTCTGCACAGCTTCCTCTGCCTTGCTGTCCCTCCCCTCCCTGCCCCGCCCCCCTGATTCCCTCAACAGACAGAAGCAGTGACGTGGTGTGCCACGGTGGTCGCAGCAGACTGCAGCACCCGCTGCCCCTCGCGCCTGCCCTCTGTGCCTGCTCTTAAGATGCTGCATCTGCACACCTTCCTCCCTCACTATCCCCTCCCTTTCTGCCTCTCCCTCGCTGCCCCTTCTTCACTACCCCCAGCAGTCGGAAGCAGTGACCTGGTGTGCCACGGTGGTGGCAGCAGACTGCAGCACCCTGTCCTTCGTGCAGACTCCCTTCCTCACTATCCCCTCCCGTGCTGTCTGTCCCTGCCCTCCCTGCCCCTCCTTTGTCTTCCCCCACACACCAGACGGAGGCAGTGACGTGGTGTGCCACAGTGGTGACAGCAGACTGCAGCACCCTCTGCCCCTCGCATCTGCCCTCTGCACCCGCTGCTGCACACCTTCCTCCCTCACTATCCCCTCCCGTGCTGTCTGTCCCTGCCTTCCCCTGCACCTCCTTTGTCCACCCCCTCCCCCCCACACAACAGACGGAGGCAGTGACCTGGTGTGCCACGGTGGTGGCAGTCGACTGTAGCTCCCTCTGCCCCTCGCACCTGTTCAACCTGCTCTTAAGTGGCCTCTTCTGCACACTTTCCTCCCTCACTATCCCCTCTCTTGCTGCCTCTCCCTCGCTGCCCCTTCTTCACTACCCCCTGATACCTCAACAGACGGAGGCAGTGACGTGGTGTGCCACAGTGGTCGCAGCAGACTGCAGCGCCCTCTGCCCCTCGCATCTGCCCTCTGCACCTGCCCTCTGCACCTGCTGCTGCACACCTTCCTTCCTCCCTCACTATCCTCTCCCGTGCTGCCTGTCTCTCCCTCCCTGCCCCTTCTTCATTACTCCCACATAGACCGAGGCAGTGACGTGGTGTGCCACGGTGGTCGCAGCAGACTGCAGCGCCCTCTGCCCCTCGCATCTGCCCTCCGTGCCTGCTGCTGCTGCTGCTGCTGCTGCTGCTCAGAAGCTTCAGCAGCAGCAGCAGCAAGGGGTGAAGCAGGAGGAAGGGGAGGCAGTAGGAGCAGGGGCAGGGGCAACAGAGGCGGGGATGCGTGCGAGTCAAATGGGTTCAGAGGGGTTCGGTGCGGCGGGGATTGGTGTGTCCATCTTCGATCTGCTGCGCTGTGTGCTGTTCTTCGAACCCATCCCGGTATGCCACCACCAACCATTTCCGCAAGCCGTGCAGCTGAGCTGAGGAATAGTGAACTGAGTTGTTTGATTGCTGTTTCCTAGAGTCACATCAGTGGCTGGTTTTTGCTGGACTCAATACTTTTGAAATGATCAGGCCCGTGACGTGACCCATCCCATTGAAGGCTTCTTGTGAGGCTTCTTTTTCTGCAATAAGATTTCTTCTGATGACGGCCCATTACCAATCTCTTGCCGTTGCTCCTTCTTCTTTGCATATCGTGCTTCAGGAAGCTTCGTGGAAAGCGCCTAAAGGAGAGGAGGGCAGTGGAAGAGTGAAGGATGAGGGAGAGGAGGGGGCTACGATGACTGGGGGGGATGTGGAGGAAACAGAAGAGGAAGAGGAGGGAGAGAGAGTGGTGGAGACGTGTGGGCTACCAGTGCTGGAAGAAACTCTAGCTCGGGTCATCCTGTTGGGAATATCTGTGAGTCTCTCTTTCTCTCGCTCACTGTCCGCTGTAGGGGCGTTATGCGAATGCTCAGTGCTGCCGGCGCTGGAGACTTTACCTTGTGTCATTTTGCTGGGAACACCTGAAGAATTTGACTGATGCTCAAGTTGATCCAGGGACAAGGAACTGGGATGGGAACTAACCCTTACCTTAACATTACCCCCCACACATCCCAACCTCCCAGTCCCCAGGCCCGGGTCAAGATGCAGCCATGCAAATGCTGCTGCATCTGCTGGTGCGAGCTGCTACAGTGCCCTCCCTCTGGGCGGGAAGGCTTGTCGTTTCTGGCCCTCAGGTTCGTACTTGTACCCCACTGCAGTGATTCTCTTTCCCCTCCTTGTGCACTCTCCTTTCTCAAAACATTTTCCCTCATTTAATACATTTCCTCTTTAAAACTCTTTTCCTCATCAGCTCTCTTTTCTCTGTCCTGCCCCTGCCTGATCCTCCCACACCCCCTTCTCCCCGTCATCCCCTTCCATCCACCGCAAACCCCCTTAATCAACCACCAGTCAACACCCCAGTCAACACCAACCATCGCTCTTCAGCTCACAGTCACACAAGCACCTCCTTCCGAATAACCCCCGCTCTTCCACCCCCTTAAACGTCTTCACCCTCCCAAAACCCCTTCTCCACACTTCCCCCCCTCTTCCCCTTCTCCAGCTATCAGCAGCGATTTTCAAGCTCGCCTCAGTGGTCCTCCCACGGCCTCTCCTCGCCCTCCACCCGCCTCCTCCCAAGCTTGTGACTGCATGTTTCCCCATTCCTCATCCCCTTTCCCGTCCCCCCTCCCCTCCTCCCTTCCAGCTATCAGCAGCGATCTTCAAGCTCGCCTCAGTGGTCCTCCCGCGCCCTTTCCTCTCCCTCCACTCCCATTCACCCCCCTAACCTGCGCACTCTTTGCCCGCCTTCCCCCTCCCCCCCCTCTCTCTCCGCCAGCTATCAGCAGCGATATTCAAGCTCGCCTCACTGGTCCTCCCTCGCCCTCTCCTCGCCCTCCACCCGCCTCCCCCCAAGCTGCTCTCTGCTCGCCGCTTCTGGCAGGCCTGCTGTGCCGCCGTCCTCATCACCGTCCTCTCCGCCTCGCCCCCCTCGCCGCCTCCTTCGCCCCCCTCTCTTGGTCCTTCTTCATTTGGAAGAGGGGATGTCTGTTTTCCATCGTGCCAGTCACCCACAGTGCAGCGCATGCTGGAAGCACTCTTCATGCACCATGTGCCATCCATGTAAGTGGTTGATTGGGGCAATGTTTAGTCATGCGTGCATGCATGCATGGGCTGTTGATGCCATTTCCATCGTGCCACTCCCATCATGCCAATCGCCCACGGTGCAGTGCATGCTAGAAACCCTCTTCATGCACCATGTGCCTTCCGTGTGAGTGGGGTGTAAGTAAGCCGCTCATCAGGGCATTGTCCCTTCGTGCCTGCAAGCATCATTCATGCATGCACTGTCGTTCCAATTACCCACAGGCCAATTGCAATGCAAACCAAACCTTCCTCCTTTCTCCCCTCCACTCCCGTCCTTTCCCTTGTGCCATGCCAGCACCGAATCACAGCATGCCACGTGGCAGAGGCAAGCTGAGCAGGACACCCGGGCCTCGGCCCTGCTGCGCCGCCTTCTCTCCTCCTCCCCATCAGCTCCCATCATCAAGCAAGAAAGTCACGAGACTGCTGGGCCAGAACTTGGAACAACAGCAGCAGCAGGGGGGGCAGGGGAAGGAGGGGGTGGGGGAAGCATGGGGAGGGCAGCAGCAGGGGGCATGGCGGAAGTGCCTGCATGGTTGGAGGCGGAGATGGGGGAGGAGCTGCTGCTGCAGGAGGGGGAGGGGGAGGGTGAGAGCGCGGGGGAACGTGGAGGTGGGAGTGGGGAGAGGAAGGGGAAAGAGGCCTCAGGGGTAGGGGAGGGAGCGGGGGCGGGGGTGGGAACAGGGGCGGGGGCGGGGTCAGGGGAGGGGCAAGGGCGGATGGGACGGTATGTGCCGGAAGAGGTGTGGGGGGTGGTGTGGGAGTGGGACAGGCAGTTTGGGCTGGGCTGGTTGTTGAGGCAAGCCTTTGGTGCCTCTGCTCTGGAAGGACTCATACACGCACAGGTGAGCGAAGGGCCATTCCCTTTGAGGTTTCTCGAAAGCGGCTGTTGAAGTAGGTCATTTACTACACGCACAGGTGAGAGCTTGTTGCTCTCTCCCCCTTCCGCTCCACCAGCTGCCCCCTCTCCCCTTCCTCCAGAAAGCCTTTGGTGTCGCTCAAAAACCACTTCCATTCACCACAGCCAATTTCCTCTCGTTCCCTCCCCTATCAGGGTGGAGTGGCGGCCTCATGCTCATGGCTGCTCGGCCGCTCCCCCCTTTCCCACACTTAGCACAGCTGATCAACCTCCCGTGCTCATTCTCTCCCTCCCTGTCTCTACCAGGGTGGAGTGGCAGCCTCGTGGTCTTGGCTGCACGGCTTTCTCTCAAGCGACCCAGCAGTGGTGGCTCATCTGGCCCCCACCACTCAGCCTAGCAACTCCGTCTCTCCTTCCCTCCCCTTTCCCCTTTTCCCACCAGGGTGGAGTGGCCGCCTCATGGTCATGGCTGCAGGCCTTTCTCTCAAGCGACCCTGCAGTGGTGACTCATCTGGCCTCCACCACTCAGTGCGCAATACTCTACCAGCAGTGGCGCTGGCAAGATGCGTCTTTTCCCTCCGACTCCTGTTGCCAATTTCCCCCTCCCTTACCACACTCCACACAACTAATCAACCTCCTCCTCTCATCCCCTCCCCATTCTCCTCCCACCAGGGTGGAGTGGCAGCCTCATGGTCATGGCTGCACGGCTTTCTCTCAGGCGACCCTGCAGTGGTGACTCATCTGGCCCCCACCACTCAGTGCGCCATACTCTACCAGCAGTGGCGCCGGGAAGATGCGTCCCTCCCCTCCTCCGCCCCTCCGCCTCTCTCCCCCTCCCACACGCGAAGCACGGTCCAACTGCTGCAAGCCGCTGTTGCCAGGGAGGTGAGGGAGAGAGGAGAGGCAGGCGGGGCGGCAGGCGAAGAGGAGAGAGAGAGAGCCGAGATAGAGGGGGCAGCAGGAGAGGGAAGGTCGGTTGAGGGAGAGGGTGTGGTGGTGGGTATCGTGGGGCTGCTTGCAGGGAAGCTGGGCTCTCGGGTTGAGTCCAAACGTGCCAGCAGCAGACGGTGCCTGGCTGAGATCTTCTCCCCTGCCCTGCTGCCGCTGTTGGCCCCAGAATCAGCAGCAGGAGGAGCAGCAGGAGCAGCATCAGCAGCACCACAAGCAGCAGCAGCAGAATCGGCTGCTGCTGCAGCCTTACCAGGAGAAGCAGCACTAGTGAAGAAGACAGGGCGCGGGCCCCATGGCGGGGGATGGCTAGAGGTGATAAACCAGCTGCCCATGGCACGAGCTGCTGCGCGCCTGCTGCTGCCTGCAATGTGCCGTGCTGTGATGCGAGAAACACACGTTCCCACGGTGAGTCCCTTGATTGGTTTGGCTTAATCCGGGGGCGAACCTTAATCCGGGGGCGAACCTTAATCCGGGGGCGAACCTTAATCTGGGGCGAACCTTAATCCGGGGGCGAACCTTAATCCGGGGGCGAACCTTAATCCGGGGGCGAACCTTAATCCGGGGGCGAACCTTAATCCGGGGGCGAACCTTAATCCGGGGGCGAACCTTAATCCGGGGGCGAACCTTAATCCGGGGGCGAACCTTAATCCGGGGGCGAACCTTAATCCGGGGGCGAACCTTAATCTGGGGCGAACCTTAATCCGGGGGCGAACCTTAATCCGGGGGCGAACCTTAATCCGGGGGCGAACCTTAAACCAGGGGCAAACCTTAATCCGGGGGCGAACCTTAATCCGGGGGCGAACCTTAATCCGGGGGCGAACCTTAATCCGGGGGCGAACCTTAATCCGGGGGCGAACCTTAATCCGGGGGCGAACCTTAATCCGGGGGCGAACCTTAATCCGGGGGCGAACCTTAATCCGGGGGCGAACCTTAATCCGGGGGCGAACCTTAATCCGGGGGCGAACCTTAATCCGGGGGCGAACCTTAATCCGGGGGCGAACCTTAATCCGGGGGCGAACCTTAATCCGGGGGCGAACCTTAATCCGGGGGCGAACCTTAATCCGGGGGCGAACCTTAATCCGGGGGCGAACCTTAATCCGGGGGCGAACCTTAATCCGGGGGCGAACCTTAATCCGGGGGCGAACCTTAATCCGGGGGCGAACCTTAATCCGGGGGCGAACCTTAATCCGGGGGCGAACCTTAATCCGGGGGCGAACCTTAATCCGGGGGCGAACCTTAATCCGGGGGCGAACCTTAATCCGGGGGCGAACCTTAATCCGGGGGCGAACCTTAATCCGGGGGCGAACCTTAATCCGGGGGCGAACCTTAATCCGGGGGCGAACCTTAATCCGGGGGCGAACCTTAATCCGGGGGCGAACCTTAATCCGGGGGCGAACCTTAATCCGGGGGCGAACCTTAATCCGGGGGCGAACCTTAATCCGGGGGCGAACCTTAATCCGGGGGCGAACCTTAATCCGGGGGCGAACCTTAATCCGGGGGCGAACCTTAATCCGGGGGCGAACCTTAATCCGGGGGCGAACCTTAATCCGGGGGCGAACCTTAATCCGGGGGCGAACCTTAATCCGGGGGCGAACCTTAATCCGGGGGCGAACCTTAATCCGGGGGCGAACCTTAATCCGGGGGCGAACCTTAATCCGGGGGCGAACCTTAATCCGGGGGCGAACCTTAATCGGGGGGCAAACCTTAATCCGGGGGCGAACCTTAATCCGGGGGCGAACCTTAATCCGGGGGCGAACCTTAATCCGGGGGCGAACCTTAATCCGGGGGCGAACCTTAATCCGGGGGCGAACCTTAATCCGGGGGCGAACCTTAATCCGGGGGCGAACCTTAATCCGGGGGCGAACCTTAATCCGGGGGCGAACCTTAATCCGGGGGCGAACCTTAATCCGGGGGCGAACCTTAATCCGGGGGCGAACCTTAATCCGGGGGCGAACCTTAATCCGGGGGCGAACCTTAATCCGGGGGCGAACCTTAATCCGGGGGCGAACCTTAATCCGGGGGCGAAACTTTATCCGGGGGCGAACCTTAATCCGGGGGCGAACCTTAATCCGGGGGCGAACCTTAATCCGGGGGCGAACCTTAATCCGGGGGCGAACCTTAATCCGGGGGCGAACCTTAATCCGGGGGCGAACCTTAATCCGGGGGCGAACCTTAATCCGGGGGCGAACCTTAATCCGGGGGCGAACCTTAATCCGGGGGCGAACCTTAATCCGGGGGCGAACCTTAATCCGGGGGCGAACCTTAATCCGGGGGCGAACCTTAATCCGGGGGCGAACCTTAATCCGGGGGCGAACCTTAATCCGGGGGCGAACCTTAATCCGGGGGCGAACCTTAATCCGGGGGCGAACCTTAATCCGGGGGCGAACCTTAATCCGGGGGCGAACCTTAATCCGGGGGCGAACCTTAATCCGGGGGCGAACCTTAATCCGGGGGCGAACCTTAATCCGGGGGCGAACCTTAATCCGGGGGCGAACCTTAATCCGGGGGCGAACCTTAATCCGGGGGCGAACCTTAATCCGGGGGCGAACCTTAATCCGGGGGCGAACCTTAATCCGGGGGCGAACCTTAATCCGGGGGCGAACCTTAATCCGGGGGCGAACCTTCATCCAGGGGCGAACCTTAATCCGGGGGCGAACCTTAATCCGGGGGCGAACCTTAATCCGGGGGCGAACCTTAATCCGGGGGCGAACCTTAATCCGGGGGCGAACCTTAATCCGGGGGCGAACCTTAATCCGGGGGCGAACCTTAATCCGGGGGCGAACCTTAATCCGGGGGCGAACCTTAATCCGGGGGCGAACCTTAATCCGGGGGCGAACCTTAATCCGGGGGCGAACCTTAATCCGGGGGCGAACCTTAATCCGGGGGCGAACCTTAATCCGGGGGCGAACCTTAATCCGGGGGCGAACCTTAATCCGGGGGCGAACCTTAATCCGGGGGCGAACCTTAATCCGGGGGCGAACCTTAATCCGGGGGCGAACCTTAATCCGGGGGCGAACCTTAATCCGGGGGCGAACCTTAATCCGGGGGCGAACCTTAATCCGGGGGCGAACCTTAATCCGGGGGCGAACCTTAATTTAAGGGTGAACCTTAATCCGGGGGCGAACTTTAATCCGGGGGCGAACCTTAATTCGGGGGCGAACCTACCTTAATCCGGGGGCGAACCTACCTTAATCCGAGGGTCGAACCTTAATCCGGGGGCGAACCTTAATCCGGGGGCGAACCTTAATCCGGGGGCGAACCTTAATCCGGGGGCGAACCTTAATCCGGGGGCGAACCTTAATCCGGGGGCGAACCTTAATCCGGGGGCGAACCTTAATCCGGGGGCGAACCTTAATCCGGGGGCGAACCTTAATCCGGGGGCGAACCTTAATCCGGGGGCGAACCTTAATCCGGGGGCGAACCTTAATCCGGGGGCGAACCTTAATCCGGGGGCGAACCTTAATCCGGGGGCGAACCTTAATCCGGGGGCGAACCTTAATCCGGGGGCGAACCTTAATCCGGGGGCGAACCTTAATCCGGGGGCGAACCTTAATCCGGGGGCGAACCTTAATCCGGGGGCGAACCTTAATCCGGGGCGAACCTTAATCCGGGGCGAACATTAATCCGGGGGCGAACCTTCATCCGGGGGCGAACCTACCTTATCCGGGGGGCGAACCTTAATCCGGGGGCGAACCTTAATCCGGGGGCGAACCTTAATCCGGGGGCGAACCTTAATCCGGGGGCGAACCTTAATCCGGGGGCGAACCTTAATCCGGGGGCGAACCTTAATCCGGGGGCGAACCTTAATCCGGGGGCGAACCTTAATTGGGGGGCGAACCTTAATCCGGGGGCGAACCTTAATCCGGGGGCGAACCTTAATCCGGGGGCGAACCTTAATCCGGGGGCGAACCTTAATCCGGGGGCGAACCTTAATCCGGGGGCGAACCTTAATCCGGGGGCGAACCTTAATCCGGGGGCGAACCTTAATCCGGGGGCGAACCTTAATCCGGGGGCGAACCTTAATCCGGGGGCGAACCTTAATCCGGGGGCGAACCTTCATCCAGGGGGAACCTTAATCCGGGGGCGAACCTTAATCCGGGGGCGAACCTCTTATCCGGGGGCGAACCTTAATCCGGGGGCGAACCTTAATCCGGGGGCGAACCTTAATCCGGGGGCGAACCTTAATCCGGGGGCGAACCTTAATCCGGGGGCGAACCTTAATCCGGGGGCGAACCTTAATCCGGGGGCGAACCTTAATCCGGGGGCGAACCTTAATCCGGGGGCGAACCTTAATCCGGGGGCGAACCTTAATCCGGGGGCGAACCTTAATCCGGGGGCGAACCTTAATTCGGGGGCGAACCTACCTTTATCCGGGGGCGAACCTACCTTAATCCGAGGGTCGAACCTTAATATGGGGGCGAACCTTAATCCGGGGGCGAACCTTAATCCGGGGGCGAACCTTAATCCGGGGGCGAACCTTAATCCGGGGGCGAACCTTAATCCGGGGGCGAACCTTAATCCGGGGGCGAACCTTAATCCGGGGGAGAACCTTAATTCGGGTGCGAACTTACCTTAATCCGGGGGCGAACCTTAATCCGGGGGCGAACCTTAATCCGGGGGCGAACCTTAATCCGGGGGCGAACCTTAATCCGGGGGCGAACCTTAATCCGGGGGCGAACCTTATTCCGGGGGCGAACCTTAATTTAAGGGCGAACCTTAATCCGGGGGCGAACCTTAATCCGGGGGCGAACCTTAATCCGGGGGCGAACCTTAATCCGGGGGCGAACCTTAACCGGGGGCGAACCTTAATCGGGGGGCGAACCTTAATTCGGGTGCGAACTTACCTTAATCCGGGGGCGAACCTTAATCCGGGGGCGAACCTTAATCCGGGGGCGAACCTTAATCCGGGGGCGAACCTTAATCGGGGACGAACCTTAATCCGGGGGCGAACCTTAATCCGGGGGCGAACCTTAATCCGGGGGCGAACCTTGATCCGGGGGCGAACCTTGATCCGGGGGCGAACCTTGATCCGGGGGCGAACCTTGATCCGGGGGCGAACCTTGATCCGGGGGCGAACCTTGATCCGGGGGCGAACTTTGATCCGAGGGCGAACCTTGATCCGGGGGCGAACCTTGATCCGGGGGCGAACCTTGAACCGGGGGCGAACCTTAATCCGGGGGCGAACCTTAATCCGGGGGCGAACCTTAATCCGGGGGCGAACCTTAATCCGGGGGCGAACCTTAATCCGGGGGCGAACCTTAATCCGGGGGCGAACCTTAATCCGGGGGCGAACCTTAATCCGGGGGCGAACCTTAATCCGGGGGCGAACCTTAATCCGGGGGCGAACCTTAATCTGGGGGGCGAACCTTAATCCGGGGGCGAACCTTAATCCGGGGGCGAACCTTAATCCGGGGGCGAACCTTAATCCGGGGGCGAACCTTAATCCGGGGGCGAACCTTAATCCGGGGGCGAACCTTAATCCGGAGGCGAACATTAATCCGGGGGCGAACCTTCATCGGGGGCGAACCTACCACCTTAATCCGGGGGCGAACCTTAATCCGGGGGCGAACCTTAATCCGGGGGCGAACCTTAATCCGGGGGCGAACCTTAATCCGGGGGCGAACCTTAATCCGGGGGCGAACCTTAATCCGGGGGCGAACCTTAATCCGGGGGCGAACCTTAATCCGGGGGCGAACCTTAATCCGGGGGCGAACCTTAATCCGGGGGCGAACCTTAATCCGGGGGCGAACCTTAATCCGGGGGCGAACCTTAATCCGGGGGCGAACCTTAATCCGGGGGCGAACCTTAATCCGGGGGCGAACCTTAATCCGGGGGCGAACCTTAATCCGGAGGCGAAACTTAATCCGGGGGCGAACCTTAATCCGGGGGCGAACCTTAATCCGGGGGCGAACCTTAATCCGGGGGCGAACCTTAATCCGGGGGCGAACCTTAATCCGGGGGCGAACCTTAATCCGGGGGCGAACCTTAATCCGGGGGCGAACCTTAATCCGGGGGCGAACCTTAATCCGGGGGCGAACCTTAATCCGGGGGCGAACCTTAATCCGGGGGCGAACCTTAATCCGGGGGCGAACCTTAATCCGGGGGCGAACCTTAATCCGGGGGCGAACCTTAATCCGGGGGCGAACCTTAATCCGGGGGCGAACCTTAATCCGGGGGCGAACCTTAATCCGGGGGCGAACCTTCATCCAGGGGCGAACCTTCATCCGGGGCGAACCTTAATCCGGGGGCGAACCTTTATCCGGGGGCGAACCTTTATCCGGGGCGAACCTTAATCCCGGGGCGAACCTTAATCCGGGGTGAACCTTAATCCGGGGGCGAACCTTAATCCGGGGGCGAACCTTAATCCGGGGGCGAACCTTAATCCGGGGGAACCTTAATTCGGGGTCGAATCTACTTAATCCGGGGGCGAACCTTAATCCGGGGGCGAACCTTAATCCGGGGGCGAACCTTAATCCGGGGGCGAACCTTAATCCGGGGGCGAACCTTAATCCGGGGGCGAACCTTAATCCGGGGGCGAACCTTAATCCGGGGGCGAACCTTAATCCGGGGGCGAACCTTAATCCGGGGGCGAACCTTAATCCGGGGGCGAACCTTAATCCGGGGGCGAACCTTCATCCAGGGGCGAACCTTCATCCGGGGCGAACCTTAATCCGGGGCCGACCTTTATCCGGGAGTGAACCTTAATCCGGGGGCGAACCTTAATCCGGGGGCGAACCTTAATCCGGGGGCGAACCTTAATCCGGGGGGGCGAAATCTTAATCCGGGGCGAACCTTAATTCGGGGGGCGAATCTACCTAATCCGGGGGCGAACCTTAATCCGGGGGCGAACCTTAATCCGGGGGCGAACCTTAATCCGGGGGCGAACCTTAATCCGGGGGCGAACCTTAATCCGGGGGCGAACCTTAATCCGGGGGCGAACCTTAATCCGGGGGCGAACCTTAATCCGGGGGCGAACCTTAATCCGGGGGCGAACCTTAATCCGGGGGCGAACCTTAATCCGGGGGCGAACCTTAATCCGGGGGCGAACCTTAATCCGGGGGCGAACCTTAATCCGGGGGCGAACCTTAATCCGGGGGCGAACCTTAATCCGGGGGCGAACCTTAATCCGGGGGCGAACCTTAATTTAAGGGTGAACCTTAATCCGGGGGCGAACTTTAATCCGGGGGCGAACCTTAATTCGGGGGCGAACCTACCTTAATCCGGGGGCGAACCTACCTTAATCCGAGGGTCGAACCTTAATCCGGGGGCGAACCTCAATCCGGGGGCGAACCTTCATCCGGGGGGCGCCGGGGGCGAACCTTATATCCGGGGGCGAACCTATCCGGGGCGAACCTTAATCCGGGGGCGAACCTTAATCCGGGGCGAACCTTAATCCGGGTGCGAACTTACTTAATCCGGGGCAAACCTTAATCCGGGGGCGAACCTTAATCCGGGGGCGAACCTTAATCCGGGGGCGAACCTTAATCCGGGGGCGAACCTTAATCCGGGGGCGAACCTTAATCCGGGGGCGAACCTTAATCCGGGGGCGAACCGTAATTTAAGGGCGAACCTTAATCCGGGGGCGAACCTTAATCCGGGGGCGAACCTTAATCCGGGGGCGAACCTTAATCCGGGGGCGAACCTTAATCCGGGGGCGAACCTTAATCCGGGGGCGAACCTTCATCCGGGGCGAACCTTAATCCGGGGGCGAACCTTAATCCGGGGCCGAACCTTTAATCCGGGAGTGAACCTTAATCCGGGGGCGAACCTTAATCCGGGGGCGAACCTTAATCCGGGGGCGAACCTTAATCCGGGGGCGAACCTTAATCCGGGGCGAACCTTAATTCGGGGCGAACCTTAATCCGGGGGCGAACCTTAATCCGGGGGCGAACCTTAATCCGGGGGCGAACCTCAATCCGGGGGCGAACATACCATAACCGGGGGACCTACCTTTATCCGGGGGCGAACCTTAATCCGGGGGCGAACCTTAATCCGGGGGCGAACCTTAATCCGGGGGCGAACCTTAATCCGGGGGCGAACCTTAATCCGGGGGCGAACCTTAATCCGGGGGCGAACCTTAATCCGGGGCGAACCTTTATCCGGGGCGAACCTTAATCCGGGGGCGAACCTTAATCCGGGGGCGAACCTTAATCCGGGGGCGAACCTTAATCCGGGGGCGAACCTTAATTTAAGGGTGAACCTTAATCCGGGGGCGAACTTTAATCCGCGGGCGAACCTTAATTCGGGGCGAACCTACCTTAATCCGGGGGCGAACTACCTTAATCCGAGGGTCGAACCTTAATCCGGGGGCGAACCTCAATCCGGGGGCGAAACCTTCATCCGGGGCGAACCTTATCCGGGGCGACCTTATCCGGGGGCGAACCTTAATCCGGGGGCGAACCTTAATCCGGGGGCGAACCTTAATTCGGGTGCGAACTTACCTTAATCCGGGGGCGAACCTTAATCCGGGGGCGAACCTTAATCCGGGGGCGAACCTTAATCCGGGGGCGAACCTTAATCCGGGGGCGAACCTTAATCCGGGGGCGAACCTTATCCGGGGGCGAACCTTATTCCGGGGGCGAACCTTAATTTAAGGGCGAACCTTAATCCGGGGGCGAACCTTAATTCGGGTGCGAACCTTAATCCGGGGGCGAACCTTAATCCGGGGGCGAACCTTAATCCGGGGGCGAACCTTAATCCGCGGGCGAACCTTAATCCGGGGGCGAACCTTAATCCGGGGGCGAACCTTAATCCGGGGGCGAACCTTAATCCGGGGGCGAACCTTAATCCGGGGGCGAACCTTAATCCGGGGGCGAACCTTGATCCGGGGCGAACCTTGATCCGGGGGCGAACCTTGATCCGGGGGCGAACCTTGATCCGGGGGCGAACTTGATCCGGGGGCGAACCTGATCCGAGGGCGAACCTTGATCCGGGGCGAACCTTAATCCGGGGGCGAACCTTAATCCGGGGGCGAACCTTAATCCGGGGGCGAACCTTGATCCGGGGGCGAACCTTGATCCGGGGGCGAACCTTGATCCGGGGGGGAACCTTGATCCGGGGGCGAACCTTGATCTGGGGCGAACCTTAATCCGGGGGCGAACCTTAATCCGGGGGCGAACCTTAATCCGGGGGCGAACCTTAATCCGGGGCGAACCTTAATCCGCGGCGAACCTTAATCCGGGGGCGAACCTTAATCCGGGGGCGAACCTTAATCCGGGGGCGAACCTTAATCCGGGGGCGAACCTTAATCGGGGGCGAACCTTAATCCGCGTGCGAACCTTAATCCGCGGGCGAAACTAATCTGGTGGCGAACCTTAATCCGGGGGCGAACCTTAATCCGGGGGCGAACCTTAATCCGGGGGCGAACCTTAATCCGGGGGCGAACCTTAATCGGGGCGAACATTATCCGGGGGCGAACCTTCAATCCGGGGGCGAACCTACCTTATCCGGGGGCGAACCTTAATCCGGGGGCGAACCTTAATCCGGGGGCGAACCTTAATCCGGGGGCGAACCTTAATCCGGGGGCGAACCTTAATCCGGGGCGAACCTTAATCCGGGGCGAACCTCAATCCGGGGGCGAACCTTCAATCCAGGGGCGAACCTTTATCCGGGGGCGAACCTTATCCGGGGGCGAACCTAATTCGGGGGCGAATCTACCTTAATCCGGGGCGAACCGGGGGCGAACCTTAATCCGGGGGCGAACCTTAATCCGGGGGCGAACCTTAATCCGGGGGCGAACCTTAATCCGGGGGCGAACCTTAATCCGGGGGCGAACCTTAATCCGGGGGCGAACCTTAATCCGGGGGCGAACCTTATTCCGGGGGGCGAACCTTAATCCGGGGGCGAACCTTAATCCGGGGGCGAACCTTAATCCGGGGGCGAACCTTCATCCAGGGGCGAACCGTCATATCCGGGGGCGAACCTTAATCCGGGGCCGAACCTTTATCCGGGGTGAACCTTAATCCGGGGGCGAACCTTAATCCGGGGGCGAACCTTAATCCGGGGGCGAACCTTAATCCGGGGGCGAACCTTAATCCGGGGGCGAACCTTAATCCGGGGGCGAACCTTAATCCGGGGGCGAACCTTAATCCGGGGGCGAACCTTAATCCGGGGGCGAACCTCAATCCGGGGGCGAACATACCTAATCCGGGGGGCGAACCTACCTTATCCGGGGGCGAACCTTAATCCGGGGGCGAACCTTAATCCGGGGGCGAACCTTAATCCGGGGGCGAACCTTGATCCGGGGGCGAACCTTGATCCGGGGCGAACCTTATCGCGGGGGCGAACCTTAATCCGGGGGCGAACCTTAATCCGGGGGCGAACCTTAATCCGGGGGGCGAACCTTAATCCAGGGGCGAACCTTAATCCCGGGGCCGGGGCGAACCTTAATCCGGGGGCGAACCTTAATTTAAGGGTGAACCTTAATTCCGGGGCGAACTTTAATCCGCGGGCGAACCTTAATTCGGGGGCGAACCTACCTTAATCCGGGGGCGAACCTACCTTAATCCGAGGGTCGAACCTTAATCCGGGGGCGAACCTTAATCCGGGGGCGAACCTTAATCCGGGGGCGAACCTTAATCCGGGGGCGAACCTTAATCCGGGGGCGAACCTTAATCCGGGGGCGAACCTTAATCCGGGGGCGAACCTTAATTCGGGTGCGAACTTACCTAATCCGGGGGCGAACCTTAATCCGGGGGCGAACCTTAATCCGGGGGCGAACCTTAATCCGGGGGCGCGAACCTTAATCCGGGGCGAACTTAATCCGGGGGCGAACCTTATTTCCGCGGGGGCGAACCTTAATGTTGGGCGAACCTTAATCCGGGGGCGAACCTTAATCCGGGGGCGAACCTTAATCCGGGGGCGAACCTTAATCCGGGGGCGAACCTTAATCCGGGGGCGAACCTTAATCCGGGGGCGAACCTTCATCCAGGGGCGAACCTTAATCCGGGGGCGAACCTTAATCCGGGGCCGAACCTTTATCCGGAGTGAACCTTAATAATCCGGGGGCGAACCTTAATCCGGGGGCGAACCTTAATCCGGGGGCGAACCTTAATCCGGGGGCGAACCTTAATCCGGGGGCGAACCTTAATCCGGGGGCGAACCTTAATCCGGGGGCGAACCTTAATCCGGGGGCGAACCTTAATCCGGGGGCGAACCTCAATCCGGGGCGAACATACCATAATCCGGGGCGAACCTACCTTTATCCGGGGGCGAACCTTAATCCGGGGGCGAACCTTAATCCGGGGGCGAACCTTAATCCGGGGGCGAACCTTAATCCGGGGGCGAACCTTAATCCGGGGGCGAACCTTAATCCGGGGGCGAACCTTAATCCGGGGGCGAACCTTTATACCGGGGGCGAACCTTAATCCAGGGGCGAACCTTAATTCGGGGGCGAACCTACCTTAATCCGGGGCGAACCTACCTTAATAACCGAGGGGTCGAACCTTAATCCGGGGGAACCTCAATCCGGGGGCGAACCTTCATCCGGGGCGAACCTTAATCCGGGGGCGAACCTTAATCCGGGGGCGAACCTTAATCCGGGGGCGAACCTTAATCCGGGGGCGAACCTTAATTCGGGTGCGAACTTACCTTATCCGGGGGCGAACCTTAATCCGGGGGCGAACCTTAATCCGGGGGCGAACCTTAATCCGGGGGCGAACCTTAATCCGGGGGCGAACCTTAATCTGGGGCGAACCTTAATCCGGGGGCGAACCTTATTCCGGGGGCGAACCTTAATTTAAGGGCGAACCTTAATCCGGGGGCGAACCTTAATTCGGGTGCGAACTTACCTTAATCCGGGGGCGAACCTTAATCCGGGGGCGAACCTTAATCCGGGGGCGAACCTTAATCCGCGGGCGAACCTTAATCCGGGGGCGAACCTTAATCCGGGGGCGAACCTTAATCCGGGGGCGAACCTTAATCCGGGGGCGAACCTTAATCCGGGGGCGAACCTTAATCCGGGGGCGAACCTTGATCCAGGGCGAACCTTGATCCGGGGGCGAACCTTGATCCGGGGGCGAACCTTGATCCGGGGGCGAACCTTGATCCGGGGGCGAACCTTGATCCGGGGGCGAACCTTGATCCGAGGGCGAACCTTGATCCGGGGGCGAACCTTGATCCGGGGGCGAACCTTGATCCGGGGGCGAACCTTGATCCGGGGGCGAACCTTGATCCGGGGGCGAACCTTGATCCGGGGGCGAACCTTGATCCGGGGGCGAACCTTGATCTGGGGCGAACCTTAATCCGGGGGCGAACCTTAATCCGGGGGCGAACCTTAATCCGGGGGCGAACCTTAATCCGGGGCGAACCTTAATCCGCGGGCGAACCTTAATTCGCGGGGGCGAACCTTAATCCGGGGGCGAACCTTAATCCGGGGGCGAACCTTAATCCGGGGGCGAACCTTAATCCGGGGGCGAACCTTAATCCGCGTGCGAACCTTAATCCGCGGGCGAAACTTAATCTGGTGGCGAACCTTAATCCGGGGGCGAACCTTAATCCGGGGGCGAACCTTAATCCGGGGGCGAACCTTAATCCGGGGGCGAACCTTAATCCGGGGGCGAACCTTAATCCGGGGGCGAACCTTAATCCGGGGGCGAACCTTAATCCGGGGGCGAACCTTAATCTGGGGCGAACCTTAATCCGGGGGCGAACCTTAATCCGGGGGCGAACCTTAATCCGGGGGCGAACCTTAATCCGGGGGCGAACCTTAATCCGGGGGCGAACCTCAATCCGGCGGCGAACCTTCATCCAGGGGCGAACCTTAATCCGGGGGCGAACCTTAATCCGGGGGCGAACCTTAATCCGGGGGCGAACCTTAATCCGGGGGCGAACCTTAATTCGGGTGCGAACTTACCTTAATCCGGGGCAAACCTTAATCCGGGGGCGAACCTTAATCCGGGGGCGAACCTTAATCCGGGGGCGAACCTTAATCCAGGGGCGAACCTTAATCCGGGGGGCGAACCTTATTCCGGGGGCGAACCTTAATTTAGGGCGAACCTTAATCCGGGGGCGAACCTTAATCCGGGGGCGAACCTTAATCCGGGGGCGAACCTTAATCCGGGGGCGAACCTTAATCCGGGGGCGAACCTTAATCCGGGGGCGAACCTTAATTCGGGTGCGAACTTACCTTATCCGGGGGCGAACCTTAATCCGGGGGCGAACCTTAATCCGGGGGCGAACCTTAATCCGGGGCGAACCTTAATCCGCGGGCGAACCTTAATCCGGGGGCGAACCTTAATCCGGGGGCGAACCTTAATCCGGGGGCGAACCTTAATCCGGGGGCGAACCTTAATCCGGGGGCGAACCTTGATCCGGGGCGAACCTTGATCCGGGGGCGAACCTTGATCCGGGGGCGAACCTTGATCCGGGGGCGAACCTTGATCCGGGGGCGAACCTTGATCCGGGGGCGAACCTTGATCCGGGGGCGAACCTTGATCCGGGGGCGAACCTTGATCCGGGGCGAACCTTAATCCGGGGGCGAACCTTAATCCGGGGGCGAACCTTAATCCGGGGGCGAACCTTAATCCGGGGGCGAACCTTAATCCGGGACGAATCTTAATCCGGGGGCGAACCTTAATCCGGGGGCGAACCTTAATCCGGGGGCGAACCTTAATCCGGGGGCGAACCTTAATCCGGGGGCGAACCTTAATCCGGGGGCGAACCTTAATCCGGGGGCGAACCTTAATCCGGGGGCGAACCTTAATCCGGGGGCGAACCTTAATCCGGGGGCGAACCTTAATCCGGGGGCGAACCTTAATCCGGGGGCGAACCTTTATCCGGGGCGAACCTTAATCCGGGGGCGAACCTTAATCCGCGGGCGAACCTTAATCCGGGGGCGAACCTTAATCCGGGGGCGAACCTTAATCCGGGGGCGAACCTTAATCCGGGGGCGAACCTTAATCCGGGGGCGAACCTTAATCCGGGGGCGAACCTTAATCCGGGGGCGAACCTTAATCCGGGGGCGAACCTTAATCCGGGGGCGAACCTTAATCCGAGGGCGAACCTTCATCCGGGGGCGAACCTTGATCCGGGGGCGAACCTTCATCCGGGGGCGAACCTTGATCCGGGGGCGAACCTTGATCCGGGGGCGAACCTTGATCCGGGGGCGAACCTTGATCCGGGGGCGAACTTTGATCCGGGGGCGAACCTTAATCCGGGGGCGAACCTTAATCCGGGGGCGAACCTTAATCCGGGGGCGAACCTTAATCCGGGGGCGAACCTTAATCCGGGGGCGAACCTTAATCCGGGGGCGAACCTTAATCCGGGGGCGAACCTTAATCCGGGGGCGAACCTTAATCCGGGGGCGAACCTTAATCCGGGGGCGAACCTTAATCCGGGGGCGAACCTTAATCCGGGGGCGAACCTTAATCCGGGGGCGAACCTTAATCCGGGGGCGAACCTTAATCCGGGGGCGAACCTTAATCCGGGGGCGAACCTTAATCCGGGGGCGAACCTTAATCCGGGGGCGAACCTTAATCCGCGGGCGAACCTTAATCCGGGGGCGAACCTTAATCCGGGGGCGAACCTTAATCCGGGGGCGAACCTTAATCCGGGGGCGAACCTTAATCCGGGGGCGAACCTTAATCCGGGGGCGAACCTACCTTAATCCGGGGGCGAACCTACCTTAATCCGGGGGCGAACCTACCTTAATCCGGGGCGAACCTTAATCCGAGGGCGAACCTTCATCCGGGGGCGAACCTTGATCCTTGGGCGAACCTTCATCCGGGGGCGAACCTTGATCCGGGGGCGAACCTTGATCGGGGGCGAACCTTGATCCGGGGGCGAACCTTGATCCGGGGGCGAACTTTGATCCGGGGGCGAACCTTAATCCGGGGGCGAACCTTAATCCGGGGGCGAACCTTAATCCGGGGGCGAACCTTAATCCGGGGGCGAACCTTAATCCGGGGGCGAACCTTAATCCGGGGGCGAACCTTAATCCGGGGGCGAACCTTAATCCGGGGGCGAACCTTAATCCGGGGGCGAACCTTAATCCGGGGGCGAACCTTAATCCGGGGGCGAACCTTAATCCGGGGGCGAACCTTAATCCGGGGGCGAACCTTAATCCGGGGGCGAACCTTAATCCGGGGGCGAACCTTAATCCGGGGGCGAACCTACCTTAATCCGGGGCAAACCTTAATCCGGGGGCGAACCTTAATCCGGGGGCGAACCTTAATCCGGGGGCGAACCTTAATCCGGGGGCGAACCTTAATCCGGGGGCGAACCTTAATCCGGGGGCGAACCTTAATCCGGGGGCGAACCTTAATCCGGGGGCGAACCTTAATCCGGGGGCGAACCTTAATCCGGGGGCGAACCTTAATCCGGGGGCGAACCTTAATCCGCGGGCGAACCTTAATCCGGGGGCGAACCTTAATCCGGGGGCGAACCTTAATCCGGGGGCGAACCTTAATCCGGGGGCGAACCTTAATCCGGGGGCGAACCTTAATCCGGGGGCGAACCTTAATCCGGGGGCGAACCTTAATCCGGGGGCGAACCTTAATCCGGGGGCGAACCTTAATCCGAGGGCGAACCTTCATCCGGGGGCGAACCTTGATCCGGGGGCGAACCTTCATCCGGGGGCGAACCTTGATCGGGGGCGAACCTTGATCCGGGGGCGAACCTTGATCCGGGGGCGAACCTTGATCCGGGGGCGAACTTTGATCCGGGGGCGAACCTTAATCCGGGGGCGAACCTTAATCCGGGGGCGAACCTTAATCCGGGGGCGAACCTTAATCCGGGGGCGAACCTTAATCCGGGGGCGAACCTTAATCCGGGGGCGAACCTTAATCCGGGGGCGAACCTTAATCCGGGGGCGAACCTTAATCCGGGGGCGAACCTTAATCCGGGGGCGAACCTTAATCCGGGGGCGAACCTTAATCCGGGGGCGAACCTTAATCCGGGGGCGAACCTTAATCCGGGGGCGAACCTTAATCCGGGGGCGAACCTTCATCCGAGGGCGAACCTTCATCCGGGGGCGAACCTTGATCCGGGGGCGAACCTTGATCCGGGGGCGAACCTTGATCCGGGGGCGAACCTTGATCCGGGGGCGAACCTTGATCCGGGGGCGAACCTTTATCCGGGGGCGAACCTTGATCCGGGGGCGAACCTTGATCCGGGGGCGAACCTTGATCCGGGGGCGAACCTTGATCCGGGGGTGAACCTACCTTGATCCGGGGGCGAACCTTAATCCGGGGGCGAACCTTAATCCGGGGGCGAACCTTCATCCGAGGGCGAACCTTGATCCGGGGGCGAACCTTGATCCGGGGGCGAACCTTGATCCGGGGGCGAACCTTGATCCGGGGGCGAACCTTGATCCGGGGGCGAACCTTGATCCGGGGGCGAACCTTGATCCGGGGGCGAACCTTTATCCGGGGGCGAACCTTGATCCGGGGGCGAACCTTGATCCGGGGGCGAACCTTGATCCGGGGGCGAACCTTGATCCGGGGGCGAACCTTGATCCGGGGGCGAACCTTGATCCGGGGGCGAACCTTGATCCGGGGGCGAACCTTGATCCGGGGGCGAACCTTGATCCGGGGGCGAACCTTGATCCGGGGGCGAACCTTGATCCGGGGGCGAACCTTGATCCGGGGGCGAACCTTGATCTGGGGCGAACCTTCATTCGGGGGCGAACCTTAATCCGGGGGCGAACCTTAATCCGGGGGCGAACCTTAATCCGGGGGCGAACCTTAATCCGGGGGCGAACCTTAATCCGGGGGCGAACCTTAATCCGGGGGCGAACCTTAATCCGGGGGCGAACCTTAATCCGGGGGCGAACCTTAATCCGGGGGCGAACCTTAATCCGGGGGCGAACCTTAATCCGGGGGCGAACCTTAATCCGGGGGCGAACCTTAATCCGGGGGCGAACCTTAATCCGGGGGCGAACCTTAATCCGGGGGCGAACCTTAATCCGGAGGCGTGCCTTAATCCGGGGGCGAACCTTCATCCGGGGGCGAACCTTCATCCGGGGGCGAACCTTTGTCCGGGGGCGAACCTTAATCCGGGGGCGAACCTTGATCCGGGGGCGAACCTTGATCCGGGGGCGAACCTTGATCCGGGGGCGAACCTTGATCCGGGGGCGAACCTTGATCCGGAGGCGAACCTTAATCCGGGGGCGAACCTTAATCCGGGGGCGAACCTTAATCCGGGGGCGAACCTTAATCCGGGGGCGAACCTTAATCCGGGGGCGAACCTTAATCCGGGGGCGAACCTTAATCCGGGGGCGAACCTTAATCCGGGGGCGAACCTTAATCCGGGGGCGAACCTTAATCCGGGGGCGAACCTTAATCCGGGGGCGAACCTTAATCCGGGGGCGAACCTTAATCCGGGGGCGAACCTTAATCCGGGGGCGAACCTTAATCCGCGGGCGAACCTTAATCCGGGGGCGAACCTTAATCCGGGGGCGAACCTTAATCCGGGGGCGAACCTTAATCCGGGGGCGAACCTTAATCCGGGGGCGAACCTTAATCCGGGGGCGAACCTTAATCCGGGGGCGAACCTTAATCCGGGGGCGAACCTTAATCCGGGGGCGAACCTTAATCCGAGGGCGAACCTTCATCCGGGGGCGAACCTTGATCCGGGGGCGAACCTTCATCCGGGGGCGAACCTTGATCCGGGGGCGAACCTTGATCCGGGGGCGAACCTTGATCCGGGGGCGAACCTTGATCCGGGGGCGAACTTTGATCCGGGGGCGAACCTTAATCCGGGGGCGAACCTTAATCCGGGGGCGAACCTTAATCCGGGGGCGAACCTTAATCCGGGGGCGAACCTTAATCCGGGGGCGAACCTTAATCCGGGGGCGAACCTTAATCCGGGGGCGAACCTTAATCCGGGGGCGAACCTTAATCCGGGGGCGAACCTTAATCCGGGGGCGAACCTTAATCCGGGGGCGAACCTTAATCCGGGGGCGAACCTTAATCCGGGGGCGAACCTTAATCCGGGGGCGAACCTTAATCCGGGGGCGAACCTTCATCCGAGGGCGAACCTTCATCCGGGGGCGAACCTTGATCCGGGGGCGAACCTTGATCCGGGGGCGAACCTTGATCCGGGGGCGAACCTTGATCCGGGGGCGAACCTTGATCCGGGGGCGAACCTTTATCCGGGGGCGAACCTTGATCCGGGGGCGAACCTTGATCCGGGGGCGAACCTTGATCCGGGGGCGAACCTTGATCCGGGGGTGAACCTACCTTGATCCGGGGGCGAACCTTAATCCGGGGGCGAACCTTAATCCGGGGGCGAACCTTCATCCGAGGGCGAACCTTGATCCGGGGGCGAACCTTGATCCGGGGGCGAACCTTGATCCGGGGGCGAACCTTGATCCGGGGGCGAACCTTGATCCGGGGGCGAACCTTGATCCGGGGGCGAACCTTGATCCGGGGGCGAACCTTTATCCGGGGGCGAACCTTGATCCGGGGGCGAACCTTGATCCGGGGGCGAACCTTGATCCGGGGGCGAACCTTGATCCGGGGGCGAACCTTGATCCGGGGGCGAACCTTGATCCGGGGGCGAACCTTGATCCGGGGGCGAACCTTGATCCGGGGGCGAACCTTGATCCGGGGGCGAACCTTGATCCGGGGGCGAACCTTGATCCGGGGGCGAACCTTGATCCGGGGGCGAACCTTGATCTGGGGCGAACCTTCATTCGGGGGCGAACCTTAATCCGGGGGCGAACCTTAATCCGGGGGCGAACCTTAATCCGGGGGCGAACCTTAATCCGGGGGCGAACCTTAATCCGGGGGCGAACCTTAATCCGGGGGTGAACCTTAATTCGGGGGTGAACCTTAACTGAGTCAATCCTTGTTTTTTTTTTTTTTAACTAAGGGTGCCTTGTAACCTTGTCCTGCTGCTGGCCTGCTGCTTCAGGTGACGTGCTGTGATGCGCACTGCACTGATTTTTGTATGACTTTTTCCCTAACAACCGGTAACTTCCCCGACCCCTTAACACCCTTCCCCTTCGCTAACCCTCACCCATTCTCCGTGCTGCTTCTTATGCCAGATTGTTGCATACATATCATCATACCTGCACTTCTGGTACCGCTCGCAGCAGAGCAACCAAGCTTGCAGGCAGCAGCCGGGAGAGGAGACGGCAGTTGGCGGTGGGGAGGTGGAGGAGAAGGTTGGGAATAGCAAAGTGGGGGTGGGTGAGAAGATGGGGGAGGAGGAGGGGAGCGAGAAGGGAGAAGAGGAGAAGAAAGGGAAGAGAGGAGAGGAGGGAAATGATAATTTAGAGGAGGTAGAGAGAAAAGAGAAGGGAGAGGAGGATACTAAGAAGGAAATTGCGGAGGAAGAAAAAGGTGGAGAGGAGAAGGAAGGGGGTGCGAAAGGAGAGGAGGAGGGAGGGGATGGTGGAAGAGCGGAAGGAGGGGAGAAGGTGAAAGAGGAGCATGAGGGTGAGAAGGAGAGTGAGAAGGAGGGTGAGAAGGAGAGTGAGAAGGAGAGCGAGAAGGAGGGTGAGGAGGGTGAGAAGGAGGGTGAGAAAGAGAGTGAGACGGAGGTTGAAAAGCAGGGTGAGAAAGAGGGTGACAAGGGGGGTGAGGAGGGTGAGAAGGGGGGTGAGGAGGGTGAGAAGGGAGCTGAGGAGGAGGGTGAGGAGGGTGAAAAGGAAGGTGAGGAGGAGGGTGAGGAGGGTGAGAAGGAAGGTGAGGAGGAGGGTGAGAAGGGTGAGAAGGAGGGTGAGGAGGGAAAGCAGCGGGTAGGCACAAGGGTTGAGGAGCAAGCAAGCAACCAACCAGCAGCTGCCCGTGCTCCGCTCGTCGCCACCCCTCCCCCCATCGTCTCTTCACCCCACGAGATCGAATCCTCCGTCCTCCCCCTTCCCCCGCTTGATCTCCCCCTCCTCTTGGCGCGTCTCATCCGCACTCGGCCCCTCCTGGCACGGCAGCTGCTTTCCCCCCTCCCCCCTCTCCTCCTCCTTCCGCCTACCCTCCCTGTTCCGCCGCTCCTCCCCGTTCCGCCCCTCCTTCCTGAACCGGGCGGAAGGAGAGAGGAAGAAGATGAGGAAATGGCAGATGCTGGGGGTGAGGGGAGTGAGGGGGATGGGGGAGATATGGGAGAGAGGAGCATGGAAGGAAGGGGAGGCGAGGACGGGAAGAGGAGGGCGGAGGAGGAGCTGGGAGGTAAGGGGAAGAAGGTGCGAAGTGAAGGGGAACGGGAGGATGAGGGGCAAGGCGAGGGGGAGAAGGAGGACGGGAAGGAAGGGGGGGAGGAGGGAGAGGGGGAAGAGGTGTTGGAGCGACCTCCTTGGTCACCTGTGGGAAGCCAAGGGGAGGTTGGGGGTGATGGGGGAAAAGAGATGGAGCAAGGAGAGGGGGAAGACGGGCAAGAGTCCGGGGGGGAGGGGAATGGGGAGGGAGGAAAGGAGCAGGAGAGTGCAGAGGCAATGGAGGTGGAAGGAGAGGCAGGGGGGGAAGGTGGGAACAAAGGTGGGGACGGCGGCGAAGGGGCTGTTGCTGCTGGTTCCGCTGCTAATGCTGATGATGCCGCTGCTTGTGATGGTGCTGCTGCGGGGGAGGGAATGCAGGTGGATAGGAGGAGCGCGGGCGGAGAGGAGGAGAGAGTGGTAGGGAGGAGAGAGGGCGGAGGGAAGGGGAGGACAGAAGAGAGGGCAGGCGCAACGGGTGGTGAGAGGCACGGAGTGGGGGAGGGAGAAGAGGGCGTGGGGTCATGGCACGTGGTGTGTGTACTTTGTGATGTGCTGCGAGAGGCCCTGGAGGGAGGGATGGCAGGGGGGATGAGCAAGGGGGTGGAGGAGGGAGTATGGAAGGGGATAAGGGAGGGAAGGAGGGCTGATGGTGAAGAGTGGGTTCTCTTCGCCCCTGCTCCTGCTGCTGCTGCTGCTGTTGCACCTGCTGCAAGCACGGACGGTGCAGATGTGTCTGCTGCAGCACGAACGGACGGTACAGATGCATCTGCCGCATCTGCTTCTCTCCCTCCTGCCTCTCCTGGGCTCGTCCTCATTCCCCTGGTGGTGGTGCGAGCAGCAGTGGATGTGCTGTCGCTGCTCTCCTCCCATCCTGCTCTCTCATTACAACCCACCACCACTGCTCTTTCACCTGCTCTCCCTGCTCCTGCTGCTGCTCCCAGCACGAGTGCAATCGCTCGTGCTCCCCCTCTCGCGTCTGACGCTGCAGTGCTGCCAGCTGCTGAGCTGCGAGCAAGGGACGCGTATCAGCGGCTGAATCAACTGCTCTTCTCGCATCCTATCACTCCCGCCTCTGCTCTTGTTGCTGCTGCTGCTGCTGCTTTGCCTCCGTCCGTTGTGGCAGCAGCAGCAGCACCCACTGCTTGTGGCGCATCCAGCTCTGCAACTGATGACCCCAATGCAGCGGTGACAGCTACTGCCTCAGCCAGGGTGTGGCAACTCAAGCCTGTGTCGTGCAAAAGAGGGACTGGGGGGGCGGTGCAGGGAGGTGTGGGGCGGCTGGAGGAAGGGGGCATGGCGGAGGTGGTGGGAAGAAGGGAAGAGGCTGTGGGGAGAGGGGAGGAGGTGGTGGAGAAAGGGGAGGATCTGTGTCTTGTGACGAAGGAGCAAGCACTGCGGTTTGGTGAAGGATGGAGGGCGGAGGGGCAAGATGGTAGGGATAAGGTGGGAGGAGTTGGTGGTAGAGGTGGATTAGGTGGAGGTGAAAGAGATGGAGTTGGAGGAGGAGGTATGGATGTGGATGGTAGAGGAGGGAAGGAGAGTCTCACTCCGGAATCCGATGCAGGAGGATTAGCGGAAGGAGTAGAAGGGGGAGGAGCGGAAGGAGGAATTGGAGGAGGATTAAGAGAGGCGATGGAAACAGATGCAGGGGACACGGTGGGGCCGGTACCAGCTACACAAGACGCGTCAGCAGCAGCAGCAGCCAAAAAGAAAGAAGAAGCAGCAGAAGCGGTAGATCCTGTGACAGCAGCAGAAGCAGAAGCAACAGGTGGAAGAGGAGAGGGAGCGGTTCAGCCAAGCAGCATGCTGCTCTCGTCCCCTTTTCTCCTCTCCACCCTCCTCGCTCTCCCTCTCTCTGCATTCAAAGCCCAGCTACAGCACGCAGTGCAGGCAGCCTTACTGGGTGCGGGGAGGCGTGAGCCAGGAGTGGAAGGAGGGACAAGCGGGATAGGCCCAAAGACTGCGAGAGAAGTGAGCAGAGGAAGGGAGGAAGCGAGGGAGGAGGGTGAAGAGGGTGGCTTGCGGGAGTTAGAGGGGCGGCTAGTGCGCGTGTTGGAAGGACTTGTTGGGATACAGGAGGGGGATGAAGCCGCTACTGCAGGGGAGGCACGTGGGGCGGATGGGAGAGAGGCGGAAGCAGTGGGAAGTGGGGAAGAGGAGGAGAAGCGTGGACAGCGCAAGGGGGAGCATGCAGGGCAGGAGGAGGAGCATGAGGGCTTGCAGCGAGGCAAGGAGGATAGCGCGCTCCCTACAGCAGAGGACGAAGCAAAGGCAATAGCTGTGCTGGAAGCACTGCTGCTGCTCGACCCCTCCGCCTCGCACCCCAGCTTCCGCTCCTTCCTCTCTCTCACCCACACTCACAGCCACAAGCACAATCACAGCCAGACTCGCGGTCGCAATCACACTCGCTCCTGTTCACCCTCTCCGCGTCTCCTGCTCCTACCTCGCGTGCTCCATGCGGCGTATGCCTCCCTCTCTGAACCACGCCTGCCTGATGCCGCCGTTTTCAGTCTCGCCGCCTTTCTCTGCCGGCAAGGGGCGCTCTGCAACTTACCCTCAGTATTACGAGGGCACGGTTCAAAGTTACCTGCTGGAGAGGATGTGAGGGGGGCAGAAGGTGGGCAAGAGGTGTGGAGTGTATGGGCTGTTCGGGAATCAGCGCAAGCAGCTCTGGGGTTCATTGCAAGTGCCCTGGAGAGAGGTACGGGGGGAGGTATGGTGGGTGCAGGCGGGAGTGGTGGTCAATCGTACCAGCTCGGTACGGTGCAATCTCAGCCATCCGTTTTCGCTTTGACATCCAAGGAGGCAGCTGGGCTCGCTCAGATCGCTGCTGCTGAGCTGGCAGCTTCTGATTGGCTGACTGAGCATGCCGTTTGTCAAATGGAGGCGCCAAAGCAGCATGAAGAGGGAAGCAGGGGAGATGGAGGAGGAATTTGGGGAGTGTGGAGAGGTGCAGGATTGAGAGAAGGGGAAGGGGAGGGGGAGGAAAAGAGGGAGCAGGAGGAGGAGAGGAGGCGAGTGGATGAAAGGGAGGTGATGCTGGTGCAGGTGTTGACGAGAGCAGGTGGCTTCCTGGAAGCGGCTGATGCTGTTGATGCTGCTGATGCTGTTGATGCTGTTGATGCTTCTGCCGGTTATGCCAGTGGTTGGGATGCTGAAAGTGGTGAAAGCGGTAGTGGTGGTGGTGGCAGCAGCACTCGTGCAAGCTGGGCGATTGTGTATGAGCTGTGAGTGCTGCTTCCTTGCTTCCTTCTTTGCTTCTTTGCTTCCTTTAGGACCCCCCAGAATATCTTCGGCAGGTGCTTGCTTGAATCCCGGCCATGGTAATTATTTCTCTTCTAATTGTTATTTCTTCGTTCCTGAGTGTTCTTTTCCCTCCCGCACGTTTTCTCAGGTGTCGACTCACTGAGCAGCAGCAGTGCAACAACCAGCAGGGCAATCAAACCCATCGTTTCATGGCAGAAGCTGCATGGAAGCTTCTCGCAGGCCTCTACTGCACAGTACCAGATGCACTTTCCAGGCACCTTCCTGAGCCGCTGGCCGATTGGAAGGGTCGTGTGGCGTCTCGGGCTGTCCCTGAAAGATACGCCCGGGCATCTGAAACTCTCTCCTCATTGGTCCGCGCTCTCCAGCAACTCGTTCAGTCCTGCCTGCCCGAAACTTCTTCCGGGCAGGAAACCAAATTGGGTGCTGATGTTTCGACAGGGGTGGGAGGGGAAGGAGTGGGGGGAGAGAAGGGAGGGGAGGGGGAGAGGGAGAGTGGAAAGAAACGGAAGTTGGAGGAGGAAGAGGAGGTGGAGAAAGAGAAGGAGAGGGAGAGGAAGACAGCAAGCACATTGCTGTATCTGCGTGGCATGGCAGTGGCTCATCCCATGCTTCTCATTCCCTTGCTGCCCATGCTGGCAGCACAGCTGCAGGTGAGACCTTGGTTCCCCCCTAGCCCACTTGTACCCCCTTACTGTGCCCCACACCCCAAGTCCTCATTCCTTTGGTTATCTGTGAACCCAGTCACAGGTGCACTCAGGACCTAATCCCTCTGCTGACCTGCTCGTCCTAGTCACTCAGCAGCAATACTCTCTCACCCTTCTTTCCTTCCCCCCCACCCGCCCCTTTCGTGTCCCTCACACCCCAGGACCGCATCCCACTAGCAACATGCTCGTTCCAGTCGCTTACACCAACACTTCCCCTTTCCCCTGCTCGTGTGCCCCGTTTCTTCGCCCCACACCCCAGGACCTCATCCCGCTGGTGACCTGCTCCTCTCAGCCGCTCAAGTCAGCAGCAGTCAACGCCTTCTCCTCTGCCCTCGTGCTGCTCTCCGCCCTCCAGCCCTCCCTGCTTACACTGTACAACCATTCCTCCACCACCCCTACTGCTACTACCACTACCACTCCCACCGCTGCTGCCGCCGCCCCCACCACCAGCAGAACCATTCCATGGTTCACCACCCCGACCAGCGTCACTGCCAGCAGCAGCAGCAGCAGCAGCAGCAGCAGCAGCAGCAGCGATGTGTTGGCAGTGGTTGTGCAGCCGTATCTGGACCTTCTGCTGACGCTGAGGCTGAGGGACAAGCCCGCTGTGGTGAGGCTCGTGGCCCAGCTGTTTGACTTCCTCCTCCGCTGCTGCTCCTACTCTGCTGCTGCCGCTGACATGAATGCGCACAGGCACATGGGTAATGATGCCATGCATGCTCACACGCACACAGACACACAGCACACAGGCTCCCATCTTAGGAGCTTAGACCTGGTGCGCGCGCACAGGGGCGGGGCGTTGGCGCACGCAGCGAAGCACTTTGGCAAGGTGAAGAAGCTGAAGCTGCTGCTTGCAACACTGGATGCCGGAGGGCCTGAAGGGGCTGAAAGAGAGGGTGAAGGAGAGGAAGGGGACACGTCGTCGCTAGGGAAATGGGTGGGGTTGAGTGCACGGCTGGTTGGTGTGCTGCAAGCCTCCTCAGGTGGCGCTTCAGTTGAAGACGAATCGTGGTTGTCAGACGGTGATGCCTCTGCTGCTGCTGGCACTGCTGCAGCAGCAGGCGCAGGAGAAAGGGGGAATGTGGAAGCAATGATGGGAGTGCTGCAGGAGATAGAGTCATTAGCAGCACAGCAACCAGCCAGACTAGCCCTCCTCCAGAAACCCCTCTGCATCGCTCTCCACTGCTGCCCGTTCCCCCACTCTCCCTCGTTACCAGCAGCGGCTGCGGCCATTGGTGGAGTGGAAGGGAAGGTGGATGGGGGAATGGTGGTGGATGCGGTACTGAGGCTGCTAGAGCGAATGCTACTGCATGCATACAGGTGAGGTGGAGGGTGCTGCGTGCTGTTGCAGTAACTGGGTTACCGGCAGCTGCTGTGGCTGGTGGTAGAGTGGAAGGGAATGTGTATGTTACCAGCAGTTGAAGGGAAGGTGGATGGAGGGATGGTGGTGGGTGTGGTTCGCAAGTAATGCTACAGCTGTCATGTGTAGGCCTCTTGTCTCCTGGGCTGCAATGCAGCCCACGTTGCACACACACCGCCCAGCTTCACATGCTGCTTCGATGCGGCTTCACGTTGCGTTGTGTTGCCCCAACTCCCACTCTCACATCATCCTATCGTCCCCATGCAGGGCCTGTGACCTCTCCCTCATCTCCTCGTCCCTCCTCCGTCTCCTCCATTCTCTCTCCCTCCACCCGCAACCCTCCCTCCTGCCGCTGCTCTCCTCCTACATGCCTCGCCTGCTCTGCCTCCTCCCAGGTATGATCATTCCGTCTTAGTATCATGAGAGAAATCAAACAAGCAGACAAACAAAGAACCTAACAAGCAAGCGGTTTCGGTGTCTTCAGGTATTGATGTTTGTTTTCGAATGAGAAGCTGACTGAAAGTGCATCCTCACCCTTGTGTGTTTCACGTGTGTGTTTGCCCGCAATGAAGCCTGCACCCTTGCATCAGCCTCAACCCACCCGTACCAGGCATTTAAGCTCTCCTTGCCACCCCATCCTTGCATCCACCCTTTGTTCCCCTCTATCCTACCAACCTCAGCCCCTGACTCCCCACCCTCTCTCTCCCCTCTTTCCCTATATCCCCCAGCAGATCACAGGCAACAACTGCTAGATGCTCTCATGCATCTGCCGCCACAACACTCACTCCCACCACCTCCACCCATCGGCATGGGCTTCAGCTGTGCCCCTCCCCACTCCCACGAAACACCACCCGAGCCTGGGAGGCTCGGCACCAGCAGCAGCACTCCCCTCCGTGATTCCGATGACCCGCTGCTGTGTACAGTGCGCTCTATAGTGGCCGTGGGGTTGTGAATTTGTGTTAACTGTGTGGAGCTGAGATGCAACTAAAGGTGTACATGGGTGCTGCAGTGCTTCACACGATGCTTCATAGCGGCTGCATGGTACCCTTAAGATTTTTGCATCCATGGGAGAAGGTTCAGAATATCGACAATAACATGCTATGGAAGGGGGAAGCCCAAATTCTTGAAGGACTGCCATAGTAGATACATCGCACTAATTCAATATAAGACAGTGGGTGGTGCAATGAGAGCATATTCAACAGCAGGGAGGTCTCTACCCTGCAGAAACGCCGTTGCTGCTCATGATTTAGATCCCTCCTGCTGCCTCAGTGTTTCAGTCCATCTGGGCACTCCTGCTGCTTCATCTGCTGCCTTCTGCTCCCTCAGCCTTTCCCTAAACTCCCTGCTGGCCTTGAGATTCACGGTTCTGCGCTCCACTTTCTGCACTCAACACGAGAGGGATAGCAGGAGACAGGGAAATTGCAGTTTGGATTGATCAAGATTAATTTCCCTGTTGGCCTTGAGGATAGATGTTCTGCACTCCACTTACTGCATACCTACATAAGAGACAGCTAGAGACAGGGAAGGGAAGCCAGGCTCAGATGCACAAGAGAGGGCGAAAGGAAGACAGGCATGGTATGTACAACACGGGCACGCAGCCTTTATTCTGCAGCCTGCATGACTTCTTACATTCTACAGAAGGTGCTGACATGTGGATTATTAAGGTGGTAACATATGCATTACCTCTTGTCTGAAGCACGCGTCCAGCTCCACCTTAATGCCGCTGCACACGTTCCAGAACTTGGCAATGGGGTGCTCCTCGTGGCATCGCTTCAGCTTCTCGATTAGCTGCACGAGGAAACGGTGGAACCGGCGAATTTGATGTAACTACATGACCAGGCGAGCAGGCAAAACTGTATGCTCTGAGCACACCAATTCGATGTAGTAAGTTCATGAATCAATCACCAGGCCAGTCATGGGATACCTTACGATCAATACCCTGGCAAACTAGAACACCTCATAGCTGAAACTTCCAGACGTACGATGCTAGTCATGTTTACGACAGACCTTCTCTCACCTCTGCGCATTTCGGGTGCTTCTCAACGGTCAATAGAGGGTGCATGTAGCCAGGATGCCTGAACCGCGCAATTGAAGGGTCACCGTGATGGATCTGAGCCTCAAAATAGCTTCTTAATCGTCAGTCAGTAGCGAGAGTACGCATAGAACAACCAATATGGATCCGAGAAGCTGCAGGCTACCGTTTTGTATGTTACAAAAAGGGGAACACGATTCTCTGCTGCGGCCTTGGCAGTGAGCACGGGCACAGTGGACCTACTATGCTGATGTGCGAGACGCTGACTGCACAATAGATAATCACCGCAGCTAGGCCGCAAGTCGCAAAAGCACGTATGATGTACTCGAGTCGAGGACCTAGCTAATAGGCCGTAGATATGTGTCAGGGGAACCTAGCTAACTGGCTGATCAACTGGCTACACGAATCTCTGGACCTGAGCAGCACTTCGAGCGAACCAGCGGGCAAACCACGTCAGAACATCCCTCGATTATATTACACACAGGCAGTTGGTATATATCGATACCGAAATACTTCGCAGGATAGTTATCTGAAAATGTATTTTGGAGAGGGTCGGTGCGATTGGCGAATGCCGCTCAACCGCAGAAACACGTCTGTCACAGACGCGGTTTTCCTGGGATTGCTTCATCGGGATCATGCAGTCTTTGCGAGCGTCTTTGCGAAAACTTAGACAGCTCGTCACCCTTTTCGTCAAGCGAAACCGCTCTCGCACAATTGCAATATCCCAACAGCCTCAGGCACTTCAAAGATACTGCTCCGCTTGTGCGGCCATTACTGAAGCCTGCCCAGTGCACTGCACTGCTGGCACTGTAGATCACCTCAGAAACTCCGTCAACTTGAAACAACCATGGGTGGTCGACTTGAGCCTGGGAGATACAGTACTTCACGACTTCCAACGTGCACGCAACAGCCTTCGGTTCGGACTGGTTTTGGGAGGTTGGCTGTTCCTAGACCTGTTCTTGACCTTTCTTAGGTTCCTTGACCCTGGGATCCTCCTTAGAGCTGGCTTTTCCTTATCTATCCTGACTTACTGGCAGAGCGGATTAGTAGTTGTTGGTGTAGTCCAGAAACGATAGCTAGTAATCATTCCACGTCAACTGTTTTCATGGCCATCGTCGAATAGATAGCACTGCTTACAAGCTATTTTAGGTTGTCTATGTTTTTGTAGCATTAGCAGAGACTCGTCGTTATGGCCATGCTAAGCAGCTGGCAGGCCGACCCTCTCTTCCTGGCAGCGGAGGAGGTGCAGGACTCAGCAGACAGGTACGCTGATCGAGCCTTGTTGCACGCCTTCCTTGCATTTTCTCATACGCGTAGGCATATGGTCTCTGTCGCCACGTTCGTGGTGTATCATTCCTGGCCCGGTTTCCGTCTATGTTAATCTTCAAAAATAGGTTATCGGCCTTAATTCAGCAATTATTTGGACGTTCAGTCATGCTTATTCTTAGGCTGGAGCATTTCTCTCTCCTCTTCTTGCCGCGATGCGTAAGCAGGCTGCGATCCAGTTTCCACCAATGGCAGCAGCTCGCGACGGCTGATGCCGCCGGGTCAGGAGGCGGCGGGTCAGCGAGGGTGGACGAGGAGGGCGCGAGGCTCGTGCTCTTGTGTGCATGCGATACCTTGAAATGGCAGGTACGGAATAGCCATGCAGGCACGTGCTTATTTGCATCCTGTGCAAGTTAGTTAAGAGTGGCCGATATTAATTCGATCAATCTCCATCTTCTCGTCTCACGTTTTTGTGTGTTAATAAGTGACCCTTCATCCCCGTCCGTTCGTCCATTTTACCCCCGTTCCGTTCCTTCCCTTTTCCTCTTCTACCCCCCGAGCAGCTTCAGGAGTTTGAGCGCGCTGTGCTCCGCGATGCCGCTTCCTCCGCCGCGTCTCTCCGCTGCCCGGAGCGCGCGAGCGGGGGGCGACCGCAGGAGGCGCAGGCGCGGAGGCAGCAGTTCATCTCCGCCATCCGCGCGCAGCTCGCGCAGGTGGATTCCGCCGTCCGCCAATCGTCCTCGCCGGGGAAGGCCACTCAGCGCGCAGGTCCCGCGTATTTTCCTGGAAACGGCGCTCCTGCTGCGGATTCATCGCAACCGTCGCTGCTGTTATCCTCGCTGTCGTCGAATTTTTTTGGCTCTGTCTCTCGGGCCGTTGGTACCAGCACCCGTTACAACAGCAGCAACAGCAACAGCAGCAGCTACGTCAGTAGAAGTGGTACCAGCAGCAGCAGCAGCAACAATATCAACAGTAACAGCAGGGACCAGATTACGTCAGATCACTTGGTTAGTTTCCTCTCCGCCCCGTCTGCCCCTCCGCCCTCCGTCATTTCCCCGCAAGAGCTGCAACTGCGCCCGCTCGCTATAAGAAAACCCGATGTGCCCATACCTAACAGCTGGCGAGGGGCGGGTGATTGTAGGGGGCGTGAGTTCATCGGGGGACTGCTGCCGACAGCAGTGCCAGACCAGGGTGGGAGTAAAGTGGGGCACAGTGGGTCAGTTTGGACCTCTGACGTAGATACTGTAAGCAGGGATGGGAGGTCGCGTTGTGAAGCGGGAGAGGGGAAAGGGCAGTGGCGGCAACAGCAGCAGGAACAGGAGCAGAATTGCGCATGGCGAGAAACAGTGGGAGCACATCCTGTTAGCGGAACCAGAGCAGGTGGGAGTGAGAGCAGGGGTGGGTCAAGACCACCACCAGGGACTGCTGCAGGGGTGTTTGGCGCGCCTGCAGCAGCTGCCGCTGCTTCTGCTGCTGCTGTTTCTATGCCCTCCCATTTACTGCAGTGGTTGAATGCGGGTACTAGCAGTCCACCATCCGCCACCTCAGTCGCAGGCAGATGGATGCAAGGCAGTAGAGTGGGAGACGGGGAGGGTCAAGAGGAGGAAGAGGAGGAGGAAGGGGGCGGAGCATGCGTGGGGAAAAGGTGCGTTGATTACTTGTCCGAGAGTGAAGGGGAGAGGGACGATGTGGGTGCCGCTGCCGAGAGAGAGAGGGTTCCGTTGCAGTTAAGAGCAGACCACCAAGCTGTTGCTGCAGTGAGAGTGTGTGTGGCGAGAGATGCCACAACAGGAACGGGTGTTGGCCGGCGGAAAGGAGGCTCTTCGTTTTCATCCCTTCCTGCCGCTGCCTTGGGGGCGGAAGCAGCAGGAGCCGCATCAGCAGCAGGAGCAGCGGCAGCAGCTGATTACCCAACCTTGACCCATCCGCCACCAATGCAGCCACCAGCGTTGAACTTCACTCCGCAATCAGACCGTATATTGAACCCCCTAGCATGTGACACGCCGTCCCAACCACACGCTCCGCATCAGCAGCTGCTCTCCCCTACTGCGCACCACCCCCTATTGCCTCCCCCCGCCGCAATACCCCGCCCTCCCCCACGTGGGGCCGTTCAATGGGTGGCATTTCTGCTGCAGCAGTTCCAGCAGGGGATGGAGCGGGGCAGAGAGCAGAGCCAGGAGCAGGGGAGGGGGGAGAAGCACGTGTGGTGCCAGGCCTGTGGAAGGCAGCACTGCGGCAGTGCTGGTGGGGCGGGCAGTAGGGGCAAGTGCGCTGAGAGTGACAGTGATGGCGGGGGAGTGGCAGGAGCAGGGGAAGGCAGAGTCGGAGGAGGGGGAGGTGGGGGAGGTGTTGTGGCAGCAGGTCCGGAGTTGAAGCTTGGAAGCCTGTCATGTCTCACTGTGGCTGACCTTGAATTGGTGAGTGTGAATGATTGTGCAGTGCCTTGGAGACATATGTTGACTGCTCTGTCTGTCCTTACATCACTTGTGCGCACTTTTCTGTTCTGTTATGCCTCCCAGCAGGATCTTCCTTCTTGTCTTCCCAGCTTGTTGGTCTCTGAAACTCACTCTTGTGATCTCTTCTCCTCTCCACCTGTCCCCTCCGTCCGTCCCCTCCGTCCGCCGCTTCATACCTTCTGCCTTTTGATTTCAGGGCCTTGCTCATTTCAATGCCTGCAATACCACCAATAACAACGGCAGCAACAGTCGCTTCCGTCGCTTCCACTCCTTCTGGCCCGTAGCCTCCTCGCCGGCCCCTCCTCCCATGACCGAGGAAGAGGACGACGAAGCCCACCGTCGCGTGGTCGGCTGGCAGCTATCAGTCAAGCGACGCCGCCCGCTACTGGGCGGCAGCAGCAGCGCAAGCTGCAACTCTGGTGCTACTGGCAGCAGCACTGGTGGTGGAACTTGTAGCAGCAACGGTAATTCTGGGGGGTCATTGGGCAGTGGCGCTGGTGATGTGGGCTTGACAGCACTGCAGGTGGTGGCTGTGGTTGTGTGTACCTTGGTGGTGGTGTGTGTGGTGCTGCTGCTGCTGCTGAAGCTTCACAGCTCATATGAAGGGGCGAACTCCAGTGGCACTGGCACTGGCATGTCAAGCGAGTGAAGAGCAGAGTGACGAGCATCTCAATTTTTCTTCTTAGCACGGTTTTCTACATTCTGCACCTCATATAATTCATTCATTCCCGTTCATTCAGTTTTGAGCCTAGTGGTAGGTCATTACAATTGCAGAAAATAATTCTAGAGCGTAAGCTTTGTGGTCCTCACTATAATAAAATGTTTTATTTTCCTTACCTGCCTCGTCTCAGAAGCTGTAGATTCTCGATTTGTCAGTTTGGCTGCAATCGCATGTGGGTCGTGACAGTCCCCGTCGAATATCTCGCTACTGTCATCAGAATCAGGGCAGCGAATCCCGTTCCGATTGGCAGCGCAGCCTGTCTCCTGCCAGGGCCCCAATGACGTGTCACGGACGTGACCTGACGTCTTCTGGGTCACACCTGTCACATCACACGCCGAGTGAAGTTCTTCGAATATATCCTGTTTTCCTTTTGTAAACCAGCGGCTACCAGAAGCCGAGGAACTCACAAACGCGGTTAAGCCACTCTGAGCCAAGATTGAGGCATGCCGAAATGTGGGTATTTTGCGTCCGTCAACAGGCACAACGGAGCATCGTATGCTTGTTCATCGATTGAGATATACAGCTTGGTGTATGCCGCAGTCTGAGTCGCAGTGCCGTGTTCTTCTCATACCATAGTCTCAGTGCCTTGTCTTCTCTGTACCTGCAGAGCGCTGGTTCGACTGGAACATGGTACGCTTCTTCCTCCCGCCTCTGAATCACGAGGACGGCGACAGCGACGACGACGCCGCCGGGGTGATCAGTGAGGTTGCGGCGGACGGGTTGGAGAAAGTCGTTAACGTTAACGTCAAAGACGGCAATGGTCGCGAATGCGCAGATGATTCTCACGGCGGTCGAGCAGGCCATAATCTGGAAAGCGTCAGTCACACGCAACCAGTCCCTTCCACGTCAGACCCTCATCACGTTGACGCAGCGCGTTTCGTTGGCGACGTATCGTGCGGCAGTGCATCGCAGCCGTACGATCAGGGACCTGCTGGTAGAGCAGAGAGGCCTACTGGAGAGATTCCAGGGGGAGCAGCTGCGGTAGAATCAGGAACCGGGGATGACGGAGGGGCTGCGGAGAGGGGTAGGGGACGGGAGGGGGGAGTGATGTCGGAGGGACGAGCGGCAGGTGTGGGTGAGGTGGTAGGGGAGGGGTGGAGGGCGGGAGGCGGGAAGGAGACGGCAGGAGGAGGGGAAGGGAGGGAAGAAACCGATGATGATAGGGCAGGAGCTGGAGCGCATGCAGCACAGATTGCAGAGCGGTGCACTCGAACTGATGACGTCACTCGAGCTGACGGCTCTGCTCCAGCTGCTGACGTCAATAGAGCTAGCAACTGCGTCAGAGCACAGGGGGGAGCGGCGAGTTCAGGGGAAGCAGGAACAGAACCGCCCGTACGTGTAGTGGCAGGAACAGAAGAAGCAGAAGAAGCGGCAGAGGCAGCAGGAGAAGCAGGAGGGCTGGGTCCCAGGCGCAGGCTCACAGCAAGGCCATCCGAACCTGGCCTGGGCCCGAGGGGATTCCAGGGTTGGAAGAGACGCAGCCGAGGCTTGGGCTTGGTGCGGTGTTCCAAAGCGTCGGTGGGGAACAGACAGGAGAAAAATGTATCTGGGGGGATAGTAGCGGAGATGATGAGCCAAGCCAAGCCAGCCGGAGCGGGTGGTGGTAGGCATTTGAAAGGGACTGAGGGCGTGGGAGAGGGGGAGAGGGGCGACGGTTGTGGTGTTGCCGGTGCTAGTGACTGCGCTGCTGACGCTTCGGGAAGTGCTGGTGAAACTTGTATGCCCTCTTGCTTGGGTCAGAAGGCGCATGCAGATTCTGATGGTGGAGGTGGCCAAAGGCTTGGTGCACACCGAGATGCCACGTACCATGGAGATGATATGTGTTGCAAAGATGACACCAGGTGTTTTAAAGACCACACGTGCTTCACAGGAGACGAGAGCGGATGCGATCCAGATGACACGTGGTCCGGCAGGTGGAGGGGCCATGGGAGGCCCTGTGCTGACGTGACGGTGGGTGAGTCAGCAGCGGATCAGCTGTGGGCAGCAGTGGAGGAGCTTCTGGAGTGCCCCGTGTGCTGCATGGAGCTGTCTGCTCCCATTTACCAGGTAGACCCAGTGACGACACGCGTTTGCCACCCCTCTCTTTGCAGCTCATTTTAGGCGTCCATTTGCCATTCCATTTCCTCTTGGTGCTGTGTGCTCCCATCTACCAGGTAGACCCAGTGGCAATATGTCTTCTCTCCTCCGCCTCTTTTCAACTTTCTCTTCCCACATCTTTACTTCGTCCATTTGCCGATTCCATCCCCCCCACATCACAGTGTCACAGGGGCCATGTGATATGCTCCGCCTGCATGAGCCACCTGGCGCACCATTCCTGTTCGCCTTCCAAGCCTGTAGATGGTGCTGTTGGTATGCGTTTCCACGCCAACTCCACACGTACTGCTGCTGCTGCACCTTCTGCCCCTTCCACTTCTGCTGCTGCTGCTGGGTCTGCTGATTGGTTTGCTGTTCGTGGCAGTGCGATGCCATCACATGTAGTGTGCTGTCCCATGTGCAGAGACCCCATGGCTGTCCCACCCGCAGCATCAGATTGCCATGTGGGGACCAAAGCTGCGGCAGACTGGCCGTCTGGGACAGCAGCAGGGTGGGTGACTGGGACCACAGCAAGCTGGGTCACAGGCACAGAAGCAGTGGCACCACTGGCTGCTGCGTCACGAGCAGGGGCTGTCTCACTGTTACATGCAACAAGCTCTCCTCTGTTTGAGCCAGGTCGTGATAGCAGCCAAGGCATTCCTCCCCAAAGCAACTCTGTGAGGTCAAGGGGTCAGAATTCTGGTGTAGGTGGGGCGCGGTGGTGGAACGGACGCAGCAGCAACGGGGTTGGGAGAGTGGGTGGGTCAGGTGCGGGAGCAACGGCTCAAGCCCCATCGTCATGCCTTATCAGGAATCTAGCTCTTGAGCAGCTGGCTTCCACAGTGGCTGCCTTGCGTACTACACCTTCTGGCCTGGCTTCACATGTATAGCCGCCGTTCGGTAACTCGTTACACATGATGTGTGTACTGTAAGAATGTAAAGCATTGTACAGCATTGCCAAGCTAGCATGATACAGCATTGCCAAGCTCGCATCGTACAACATGGCCAAAAGTCCGGGGTGGAGAAGCCCCTCTCCCTCTCCATATCAACCCTAAAGCCTCATACTCCAAGACTACGCACACAGCAAGAATTCCGCATGATGAAGAGGGATTACCGATATCACATTTACCGAATTTGACTGGCAAGACAAGAATGTGTACTCCTGTATGGCAAGAAAGGGTAGAAATACCACACCCTAACCTAGCCTACCAAGTTTGACAAATACACTTTGACAAGTATGTGCATGCCGTGGATTGTAACAAGCAGTATTACCGTAATAGATTAATATATTCGTGATGGCAACTTGATCGCTCTATGAGAGCAAAAAAAAGTCTCTGGTAACGTCATTAAATCGATAATGCTATCCCTGGTAGTAGAAATTATTCAGCTAGCATGACAAGTTTTGTCATGACATAAGAAAGAAATGAAGGTATACTGAGAAACATCTGAGAATGAATAACCATGAAAATGTTTCTGGTTAGGATAATGCAAGGGTCAAAATCGAGGAGGGATGCTTCATCAGCCGAAACAGGGGGGGGCACGCATGCTGTTCGGCATTTTCATACGTGGAGACTGCGCGGCAATCTCTTCCCCAATAAAAATCCAGTTGCATACGTGTCAGCAGCCAGCTCAGACGTGGAATCCCAAGGTATCTGGGCCAGCCAGGAACATTCCCTGAGCCGCCTGTTAGAAATGTGTCCGCATGTGCTTCCCCCCAATTGCTTCCGCGGGCTGGCTTGGGTGCTGCAGCTTGTTTCAGGGATCCTGAAACTAGTAAGCTGGGGCACGGTCCTATCTATTGTTGTGTGCTTGCTATTGCTGGTCTTCCAGAAATTCTCAGGCACGCTTCTTCTGCAGACGCCGCTGACCATGGAGGGCGCTGCCGCTGTCCTGACAGAGGTCTCTAAGCATGCTCATGGAGCTCTTCCTGAAACGTTTTTAAATGTCTTCATTCCAGCAACTGCCGTTGTTGGCATTTTCTTCGCGATTTTCCAATGGTTCATGGTCTCTCGCATCCGCGTTGGCGGTGCTCCGGACGGCCAGTACGGACTTTTGGAAGATGGGACTGCAGACACTGTACTCCAGCAGGTTTCCGAAATCCAATCCGCCATTTCCATGGGTACGTGATTTGAACAACATATGATATGCATCTTTGACCACAAGCATTTGCTCTTCGATCTGAAACCTGACATTCTAACATTCTGAATTTTCGCAGGTGCCGAGTCGTTCTTGACCACGGAGTACAAGTACCTGGCAGTTTTCATGAGCGGCTTTTCCGTGATCATCTTTCTCTTCCTTGGATCTGTTGACAACTTCAATAAGGAGGGTATTGCCAACGCTGGTTTCAGCACCTTGGCCTTCATCCTCGGAGCTCTGACATCGACGGGTTCTGGATACCTCGGCATGAAAATTGCTACTTGTGAGTGCTTTGTAATTTGCAGTTTCACTGGCACTGATGATTTTTTTTAAGCTTATCGATAACGTCACGTGTGCATGTTCTTATTTTCGTTGCAGACGCTAACGCAAGGACCACCTTGGAAGCCAGGAAGGGAATTCCTGCAGCATTCGTGGCTGCTTTCCGCGCTGGATCGGTCATGGGCTTCCTCCTGTCGGCGAACGGACTGCTTGTGTTGTTCCTGACCGTTCTTGCGTACAGAAAGTATTACGGCGATGACTGGGCCGGGTTGTACGAGTCCATCACAGGTTACGGCCTTGGTGGTTCATCTGTGGCCCTGTTTGGTCGTGTTGGTGGTGGTATTTACACCAAGGCTGCTGACGTTGGCGCGGATCTTGTGGGCAAGGTTGAAAGGAACATTCCCGAGGACGATCCCAGGAATCCTGCTGTAAGTACTGCGATCAGGTTGCGTTTTAAAAGTTTTTATTAAGCCTTTTGATCAACATTAATCCATCTTTCGTGTATTTTCAGGTAATTGCTGACAACGTGGGAGACAATGTGGGTGACATTGCTGGCATGGGTTCTGACCTGTTCGGTTCTTTTGCCGAGTCGACCTGCGCGGCCCTTGTGATCTCGGCTCTTTCTCAGCCTGGGAAGGACCATGATTTCTCCGCCATGTGCTTCCCTCTTCTGGTCAGCGGTGCCGGTATTCTCGTGTGCCTGATCACAACCATCATCGCTACGGATATCCAACAAGTGCGGGAGAAGGCGGAGATTGAACCGGCATTGAAGAAGCAGCTGGTGATCTCCACTGTTCTGATGACTCCCGTGATCTTCCTCGTTGCGTTCTACGCTCTTCCGCCTACCTTCAAGATCACTGTCGTTGGTCAGGGTGACAAAGTCGTTCAGAACTGGTAAGTCCACTTTCGAAGTGGGCGTGTGTTGGCACCCCCTGAACGTTGTAAGCAACACTATTCTAAAGTTCTCTCCAAACATTGCAGGTTCGCATTCGCGTGCGTCGCTTCCGGGCTTTGGGCTGGACTCCTCATCGGTTTTGTCACCGAGTACTTCACGAGCAATGCCTATGTGTAAGTAGATGGTAGCGTTATTGTTTTCCTCCTCCCATTTCTTAGCGCCTCATCAACCCCTCGAAGAAGATTGCATAAGTGATTGTATGGAAAGAAAGAACGAATTAATGATTCGAAACTTTGTCTGAACTTCAGGCCTGTTCAAGACGTTGCTGACTCTTGCCGTACTGGTGCGGCCACTAACATCATCTTTGGCCTTGCACTTGGCTACAAGTCGGTTATCATTCCTGTGTTCGCTATTGCTGCGGCAATCTACGTGAGCTTCCAGTTTGCTGGCATGTACGGCATTGCCCTGGCTGCTCTTGGCATGCTGAGCACTCTTGCAACTGGTCTGGCCATTGATGCCTATGGGCCAATCAGTGACAATGCTGGTGGTATTGCTGAGATGGCGGGCATGGGTGAGGAGATCCGTGAGCGCACTGATGCCCTCGATGCTGCTGGAAACACCACTGCAGCTATTGGCAAGGTGAGACTGCTGTTGAGGACTTTGTGTGCTAATGTTGCGCTGTGTTATCTTGGTTCCAAACTAAGCTCGCTTGTGTTATTTCTTTTACTTGCAGGGCTTCGCCATTGGTTCTGCTGCACTTGTGTCCCTTGCTCTGTTTGGAGCTTATGTGAGCCGGGCCAAGGTTAACGTTGTCAATGTGACTGAGCCGCAGGTATGCTCTGTTTAACCATTTTTTCGTACTATGAGACTGTTAATGCATGGAGACTGAATTTAACTTGCTTCTTGTTTGATGCAGGCCTTTGTTGGACTCCTTGTTGGTGCTATGCTGCCCTACTGGTTCTCTGCCATGACCATGAAGAGTGTGGGGAAGGCTGCTCTTGCAATGGTGGAGGAGGTTCGTCGCCAGTTCAACACCATGCCTGGCCTGATGGAGGGAACCACGAAGCCGGACTACAAGAAGTGTGTGGAGATCTCGACTGCTGCTTCTCTGCGTGAGATGATTCCTCCTGGCGCGCTTGTGATGCTGAGCCCTGTGATTGCGGGAACCCTGTTTGGAACCACGACGCTGGCCGGCATGCTTGCGGGTGCACTGGTGTCTGGCGTCCAGATTGCCATTTCTGCGTCCAACACTGGAGGTGCATGGGACAATGCCAAGAAGTACATTGAGGCTGGCAACTCCGCTCATGCCAAGAGCCTTGGACCCAAGGGCTCTGATCCCCACAAGGCTGCAGTTATTGGCGATACTGTTGGTGATCCCCTGAAGGACACATCAGGCCCGTCCCTGAACATTCTGATCAAGCTGATGGCTGTGGAGTCGCTGGTGTTTGCCCCCTTCTTTGCTGCTCATGGTGGCATCATCTGGGGTGGCAGGTAGTTAGGACAAGTAATCTCCAGGAATGACCGAGTATGCATGTGTGATGCTTAAGGATCATCTGTAATGACCTTGTTGGCGGTGTTAAGTTAGTGTTCGTAATGGGTATGCCACAACTTTATATCACAGAAAGTACATGCCTGCCTTTGCATAAGTTCTTTGCAGCGGAAAGTAGCTTTTACACCTATTTCATAGAAACGTCAACATCATTCACTGGCCACGACACTTTTTCATTAGAATGTATAAGTCAACACCCTCGAAAGAGAAATCTTTATGTAATTCTTCCTCTCTTATCTTTCTTACCACTACAAATGTGGATGGTAGTAGGCTCCAGAATTTGTCATGAGCCTCCTGTTGTCGTAACCTGTAACCAAGTACCAGGGTTGTTTTCTTGTCACTCACTGCTGCCATCGTGGAAATCAGCTTCTCGACATCTTCCGCTATGTACACCACATCAGTCACAATGACGAAATCGAAGGGAGGCTTGACTGAACAGATGTGCTTGTCATTGCCCCAGTAGAGTTGCATGGGCTTGAGCTTCCCTGGTGCTGAGAACGATGATTTGTAAGCCTCAGAAAGCGAAGTTAGGTTCCTCTTCAGATTCCGTTTCAAAATAGGGAGGACTGGTTGAATGTCTGTCGCAGTGACATCACATCCAAGCAAAGCCATAGCCATTCCTGCGGCATGTGAAACAGTGAGAAGGGAAACCAACTTAATTGAATGATTCGAAGCAGCAGCGAGAGAGCCCAGCATTCAGTGTGGGTAGCACCTAAAGAATCTCGAAGAACCACACGCTTATTACCAGCTATGCCGCATCCCGCTCCAAGCTCGACCACTCGTTTTCCAGCGACCTTCGAGCCTGAGAGCTCGCATTCGTCGTTCTCAAAATTCTTCTCTAACCATTTAGCGAACACTAATGACGCCTCCCACACACTCGTCCCCACGTGCATCGATTCGTTATCCTGCACTATACTCAAGGGCTGACCCCATAAATGCAAATCCACGGTTCGCTCTGCCGAGAACCACATGAGCCCAAATCGTGTAGGAGAATATGCTGGAAAACCTCACACAGCTCGAAAGGGTTGCTTACGATATTCGTGATGACTTCGTGGAGCAGGAAATGGAGTTTTCAGCAACAAGCGGAAAAGTGGTTTAGGGGACACACACAAGCTGCGAAAGAGGCCGGGTGGACAAAGCGAAGCGATTGGATCAGGGTGGACCGCATGTGTTACAATTTCGCCAAGACACAGAAACGTTGTGACTCAAATTGTGTGTCTATTGTCGAATTGCACAATGCCCTCAATTGTATCACTGATTGCTGGAAAACTGCACACCAATCGAATCAAAGCCTCCAAGTGCACTTTCATATGTGTACTTCCAGCGGCTTTCAGTTCCCAATAGCGAGTAGAGATTTCACGTGTCGCAGCCAGATCAGATGGCCAACGCAGCTATACTGCAGTTTCCCGCTGGCAAATTTGGCTGAATTCCGATCTGCATTTCGTTCCCTTCATCCCAGAGACTCCCGTAAAAGCCCCAAAATTTTGTTGACTGGTTAGATAACCAAGTTAGCAGGAAGGGCCTCAGAGCACTCCGCCCAGCCTACAACAGACCCATATTGACTACGTAGCTTGTCAGCCATGGCTGATGCTGTGACACTCGTCACGGAAGTCTCTAAGCATGCCCAAGGGGCACTGCCTGATTTGTTCCTGAATGCCTTTATTCCGGCAACTGCAGTTATTGGCATTCTCTTCGCTATCTTCCAATGGATCATGGTCTCTCGCATCCGTATTGGAGGTGCTCCCGATGGCCAGTACGGCCTTCTGGAAGATGGGACAGCAGACACTGTCATCCAGCAGGTTGCTGATATTCAGTCCGCTATTTCCATGGGTAAGTGAAAGGTCCAGCATTCAGCCTTTTTTATGTATCACTTTCTGCTCACTTCTGGCCACATTTATCAGCTACATTGGACCAAATCTCAATGTGGGCCTGGCATGACAAGTTTTTTTGTCCTTTTACAGGTGCGGAATCGTTCCTGACCACGGAGTACAAGTATTTGGCCGTCTTCATGAGCGGCTTCTCCGTGATCATCTTTCTCTTCCTTGGATCCGTCGACAGCTTCGACAAGCAGGGCATTGCCAATGCTGGTTTCAGCACTTTGGCATTTATCCTCGGAGCTCTGACATCGACGGGTTCTGGATACCTCGGCATGAAGATTGCTACTTGTAAGCGCCACATATTTTGCCATTTTTCCTGGAGCACATATCCTTCGAACACCTTGTTCACGAGCTTTCCTAAACGCGCGATCTCTTCGTCGACGGTGCAGATGCCAACGCGAGGACCACCATGGAAGCTAGAAAGGGAATCCCTGCAGCATTCGTGGCTGCTTTCCGCGCTGGATCGGTCATGGGCTTCCTCCTGTCTGCAAACGGACTGTTGGTCTTATTCCTGACCATTCTCGCATACAGGAAGTATTACGGCGATGACTGGGCTGGGCTGTACGAGTCCATCACAGGTTACGGTCTTGGTGGCTCATCTGTGGCCCTGTTTGGTCGTGTTGGTGGTGGTATTTACACCAAGGCTGCTGATGTTGGTGCGGATCTCGTGGGCAAGGTTGAGAGGAACATTCCCGAGGACGATCCCAGGAACCCTGCTGTAAGTACTTCGATCAGGTTGCGTTCTAACGTTCAACTGAAGACTTCCGAACAGTATTGACCAATCTTTCGTGTATGTTCAGGTGATTGCGGACAACGTGGGAGACAATGTGGGTGACATTGCTGGCATGGGTTCTGACCTGTTCGGTTCTTTTGCCGAGTCGACCTGCGCGGCCCTTGTGATCTCGGCTCTTTCTCAGCCCGGGAAGGACCATGATTTCTCCGCCATGTGCTTCCCTCTTCTGGTCAGCGGTGCCGGTATTCTCGTGTGCCTGATCACCACGATTATCGCAACCGATATCCAGCAAGTGAAGGAGAAGGCTGAGATTGAGCCGGCATTGAAGAAGCAGCTGGTGATCTCCACTGTGCTGATGACACCCGTGATCTTCCTCGTTGCGTTCTACGCTCTTCCGCCTACCTTCAAGATCACTGTCGTCGGTCAGGGCGACAAGGTTGTCCAGAACTGGTAAGTCCGAGTTCGAAGTGTGTGTGTGTCAGCACTTGTGTCCGGGATTGTTCTAAAGTTTTCAACAAATCTTGCAGGTTCGCATTCGCGTGCGTCGCATCTGGGCTTTGGGCTGGTCTCCTCATCGGTTTCGTCACCGAGTACTTCACGAGCAATGCCTACGTGTAAGTGGATGGTAGTGTTATTGTTTTCCTCCTCCTATTTCTTAGTGCCTCATCAGCCCCTTGAAGAAGATTGCATGAAGTGATTGCATGGAAACAAAGAACGAATTCATGATTCGGAACTTCGTCTGAACTCCAGGCCTGTTCAAGACGTTGCTGACTCTTGCCGTACTGGTGCGGCCACTAACATCATCTTTGGCCTTGCACTTGGCTACAAGTCGGTTATCATTCCGGTGTTCGCCATTGCTGCGGCGATCTACGTGAGCTTCCAGTTCGCTGGCATGTACGGCATTGCCCTGGCTGCTCTTGGCATGCTGAGCACTCTTGCAACTGGTCTGGCGATTGATGCCTATGGGCCAATCAGTGACAATGCTGGTGGTATTGCTGAGATGGCGGGCATGGGTGAGGAGATCCGTGAGCGCACTGATGCCCTCGATGCTGCTGGAAACACCACTGCAGCTATTGGCAAGGTGAGACTTGTGTTTTGGACTGTGTGGGAATGTTGCACTGTGTTATCTTGGTTACAAGCTGAACTCGTCTAATGTTTATATTCTTCTCGCTTGCAGGGCTTTGCCATTGGTTCTGCTGCTCTTGTGTCCCTTGCTCTGTTTGGAGCTTATGTGAGCCGGGCCAAGATCAATGTTGTCAACGTGACTGAGCCTCAGGTATGTATCGTCAGATCAGATGAATGATAAATTTCTCTAATGCGGATGTATTGATCTAGGACTAACACCCTTGTTTGTCTGATGCAGGCCTTTGTTGGGCTCCTTGTTGGTGCTATGCTGCCCTACTGGTTCTCTGCCATGACCATGAAGAGTGTGGGCAAGGCTGCCCTTGCAATGGTGGAGGAGGTTCGTCGCCAGTTCAACACCATGCCTGGCCTGATGGAAGGAACCACGAAGCCGGACTACAAGAAGTGTGTGGAGATCTCGACTGCTGCTTCTCTGCGTGAGATGATTCCTCCTGGCGCGCTTGTGATGCTGAGCCCTGTGATTGCGGGAACCCTGTTTGGAACCACCACCCTGGCTGGCATGCTTGCGGGTGCACTTGTGTCTGGCGTCCAGATTGCCATTTCTGCGTCCAACACTGGAGGTGCATGGGACAATGCCAAGAAGTACATTGAGGCTGGCAACTCCGCTCATGCCAAGAGCCTTGGACCCAAGGGCTCTGATCCCCACAAGGCTGCAGTTATTGGTGACACTGTTGGTGATCCCCTGAAGGACACTTCCGGCCCGTCCCTGAACATTCTGATCAAGCTGATGGCTGTGGAGTCACTGGTGTTTGCTCCCTTCTTTGCCACTCATGGTGGTATCATCTGGGGTGGCAAGTAGATGACGAAGCATTGGCCTTGTGTTGGGATTCGGGGGTTAGAAATCACGTGTGATGGATAAGGATCATCAGTAATGACCTTTTTTTGTGGTGTTTGTCGCTCGGCGATGAGGATCGTCAAGATTTCTAGGGTAGGCATGTTTGGGGTGAGTCGAATATACCGGTAGTGACATTTGGTGTAGTGGTATCATTTGTGTCATGTCATCGTACACGGTGAGTGCGGCTGTTGGGATGAGTGTTAGTTGATTATTGTCAATCCTGAATTAAGGGTGTTCGTTCAGTATGGAGAAAGGAACATGGCAGCCCTGATGGAGCAGAATGAAGTGTTGTCTGACTTGTTACTGTAGATGTTTCATCAGTGAATTTGCAGATCAACATAGTATAATTGGCATGCATGGAAACCAACCAAAGCCGATATTCAACGCCACACCAAGACAAGTGTCAAGCTGATTGACGCACAATGCCATATGCTGGAAAACCAGTCCTAACCCCAGGTGTAGGCTTGATTTCAAGATCTGGGCATCTAGACATGAGAAATGCAAGGCAATGGAAAGATAGTGGAACACCCCACAAGTTGAGTTCTCTCAGTTGCATACATCCTGCCACCACAGCAAGAACTCCCTTGTCCGTCACTTTACGACATCCCCACAAATTTAGAATCTGCAGGAGAAGGGGTGGACAAAAAAACAGTTAGAGGTCCACCACCAAAATGAAATGCAACAGATTGCTTCACGACTAGCGCGCAAGAAACCAACCTCCAGTGATGGGCATGAACGGGCGATGTTGAAGATTGAAGATGAGGTGACACAGGTTCCTCCCAAGTTTAGATGCTTGAGCCCCTTGCACTTCACCACCTGCATGGGCGGAGGAAAATCTCGATGAAATTCCTCAGTCTGCTTTCACACACACGTGTATGCATTCCAAATAAGTCGCAATGTACCCGATAGGAATCAATAAAGCGGCTTTTGACTGCCAACAAACCTGGAGGCATTCATTGCAAGTTCGTATGGCCTGATCAAACACGTCTCGTTCCCAGCAAGTACGAGATCCACCCCATACATGACTCTGTGGTTAGTTCCTGTGCCTGCTTGATTCTAGGTCTCTCTGGAATGGTGTTTTACCAGCCACCATACCCTTAATGACATGCTGTATTACTTTGTCGATAATGTCTGGAAGAGGCTTACCAGACGGCAGATGCCAGCATCAGAGACGCCCTTCACACCCCACAGAGATAATGACTGAAGCTGGCAAACAGGCGTAGCCTTACTGGCAGCCTCGAGTGATGCATCTGACAATCGGCAACCACACCTGCACAAGTACAACCGCAGCAAATTTTTCAGCTCAAGCTACAACGCGACTACGTCCACACTCAAGCGGTTAAACGGATCAGCAGTTCACACAAGTTGATGATTTTGACCGCGAATCCACGTACAGGTCGAGCTCTGTGACGACGCAAGCCATGGGCATGATCGATGGCAGGGCGAATTCTGGATTACGGCACTTGGCGAAGGTCAAGCGCTGTCGATTCCCCCACAATTGCACTGCTGCACTGTGCCACGACTTCGAAACTCTGGCGGCACTGTAACGCGCGATGGGGGAGCAGAGGAAAACGAGATCATGTAAGATGGCTCGTGCGAATCGCGAAACGAGGCGGTGGGAATTGAGAGAGAATTTGCAGACTATCTAGTAGATAGGAATCGTAGAACTCGCCTTGCAATATCATGATACGAGCGAAGGTGTTGGAAGCAATGAATAAGAACATCTTCGGGGAGTTCTGGCGGCTCTTTGTAATCGTCATAAAGGTCTTCTGAGGATGATTCTGCACAATCATCGTCATCGTGTCTCTCTGACCACCATGTCGATCCATCATCTCTAGGATTTCCCCAGTCTAGCAGCCGCGCCAGAAGCAATTGCGCCATTCGTGTCACTATACACGCAGAGTTCTATACAGGCTATACAGCTAAAGCTATGTACACGAAAGAGCCAATAAGCGCTAACAACGGACCATGGTGCTCGTGCTGCTTTGGACAGCACGCGTGGCAGTCAGACCAACAAACGATCACGAAACACAGACCACGGGAGGCCACCTCTAGGTCAGACAAACATGACTAGGTTAGAATGACTACAGAGACAACGGTCACTACGAATCACTAAGCCTCAGTGATGCTAATTTCAACTTCAGTCCCTACACCTTACGCCACTAGTCGATCACGATGCTCCTTATCCATGGCATTTCAACGCATACCCTTTCATTCTACTCTATTCTCTCTCGAATTTCATAAACTAGCACACAGATCGTCCTCTGCCGCTCGCTGGGGGGATCCTTGTCAATTCAGCTTTCCACACAGAAGCCGTGCTGGCCTGCTTCCTTGCTTCTAGCTTGACCATGGTTTCGTTGAGCGGGTTGTTGTGATGTGACGGTGGTGTGATGTGAATCACGGTGGATCATAGCGATCAGGTGGAGGCCTGGGCAGGAAAGGCTGGCACGCAACACACCGCTGGATGGAAAAAGTGCCCAGAATTGGCCAGTGATTGTTGAGGTCGAGTCAGCAAGGAGTACGTCGATTGGCCAGTTGAACTTCTGGCCAGTAATGTCAGCCCCTCTTTTGTCCGCGGGCAGCAGAAACTTGTCCAGCGCTGCGGAGCACTCGCACGTGTCCACACCGAACTTTGCAGACGGGAAACGCGTTTCTGGTTTTCTCGCTATCAAATTCGAGTCATATGCATAACACTTCACAAGTACTCAATCCTAGAATCCGAATCATTTTTCTTCCGCAAACCTGAGTTACTATATACTCCTGCCGCGCCTCCGAATGAACTCCGAGCCCGCCGTTGCCAGTTAGTCTACTTGGCATAATCGTACTTGCAAGTTTCCTCTCACCATGGGTGGGTTGTTTGGAGATTTACCTCCGCCTTCCGACGCGGACAAAGCCGCTTCGGACGCAAATCCTTCCGCCGCTTCCGCCTCCGCATCGTCCGCGGGTCGTCCGAAGCTATGGTCCGCCAAAATGACTCCCGCTGCGCTGCGCAAGCCCTCCGCTGCGACCCTTTTTGCTCCGCCAACGTCCGTTCTCCGCAGCCAGTCCCTCTCTGGGTCCACTGCGGGTTCCCCCGCTGCGAAATCGGCTAGGTTACCGGCCCCGCCGCCGCCGCCAGTAAGCGGCGCAACAAGCGGGGGAACCAGTACTTCCGCAATCGTTGCCGCATCTGCCGCAGCAGCAGCTGCAGCGGCAGCAGCATCGGGGCTGGGTCCAGGAGCCGGGGCAACGGAAGCGCAGGCAACCCCTATGGCAGTTGATTCCGCTTCCGCCGGCGAGGCTACTCCCCCATTCCCCTCCGCCTACTCCGCGCAACCTCTCCCTCCTCACGCCCCCGCATACCCCCCTGATTCTCGCTTCGCTGCGCATCCAGGATATCAACCGCCTCCCCCCCCTTATGAAAGCGCAGCTGCAGCGTATCCCCCGCCTGTCCCCCCCTACGGTTCCGCGCCTCCCCTTCCCCCGTATCCCCCCCTGGCTCTGCCCCTGCGCCTCCACCTGCCCCTGCGCCTGCGCCTGCACCTGCGCCTGCTCCCCCTGTCCTGCCGCCAGGTGGGGGAGCCGCATTGGTTGCTGCAGCTGCTGCCGTTGTTGATGAATACGATCCGGCCAGACCTAATGACTATGAGAAGATACTAAGGGAGAGGAAGAGGAAGGCTGCCGAGGAGGAGAGGCGACGGGAGATGGAGAGGCGGAGGAGGGAGGAGGAGGAGAGGGAGAAGGAGCGGGAGGCAGTGCTGCAACGGCAGAGGGACCTTGAGCTTGCCATCAAGGCTGAACGTGAGGTAGGTGCTCCCTAATGTACAGCCGGCATTGAGCAGTTAAACTGGAATAGCACCTCACATGAGTCAACGCAAGAGAAGCAGAAAGGTGCTGTTGTTTTCGCAAACATACTCTCACACACGTATGTTGAATCAGCTTCTTCAAAATGCCGTTCTTGCCCTTCTTGATGCTCCATGGTGTTGTCTGAGGTATGATGAATCCCTAACACCTGAACCTGAACCAATCAGCGCGTTAAATTTCACTCGTACTGTTCTCTCTGCTGACATCTGTTCCCACAGCGGGCCGCAGCAGCCAAGGCAGCAGAGCAGGAAGGGGCCGCATCAGCATCACCAGCAGCAGCTGCAGCCTCTGCTGGCCCGGAACGCTCCCAGCTGCGCGTCAGTGGGGAGGAGGCGTGGCGCCGCAGAGCGCTGCTGAGCGGAGGGGGGGCAGGAGGGGCAGCAGGGGGGGGACTAGGAGCAGCAGCGGGTGGAGTGTCGGCAAGCCCACGAGCGGCAGAGAGATCGCCGTCGCCTCCTAAGTGAGATATCTTAACTTTTCAGAGCAGTAAATGTGGCTTGCTTCTCTTAACATGGTTGGTTTAGCCACCCATTTTCTTTGCTTTAACCACCCATTTACTTCATTCATTCAGTCGCTAGCCTCTTATAAAGTGACCTTGACATCCCACGGCATCCATCGTAACGTCCGCAGCTGTAGTCTTGCTTGACTTGCCTCATCACCCAACTGGGTTCCCCTGTTGCACCTGGCAGGTCTGAGGGGTTTGCCATGCCCAAGAATTCTGGCGACGGGTTGACAGCAGCAGAGAGGATGATGATGAAGATGGGTTGGAAGGCTGGGCAAGGGCTGGGTAAGCAGGAGCAGGGTATCACCACTCCTCTTATGGCAAAGAAGACTGACAAGCACGGAGGAGTGATTGTTGCTGCCAAGCCGTTGAAGAAAGGGAGTGGAGGGGAGGGAGGGGAGAATAATGCTGGTGGTGCTGGGGGGAAGAGAGCGAAGCTGGGTGGTGTGGCACTCAATGGGCCTCCGTCAAAGGTTGTCCTTCTACGGAACATGGTATGCTACCTGCGCTCATTTCTTTAACATGGTTACCCATGGCGGAAACAAGCAACATGGATTGTTTTAGCTTAACGCTGTTTGTGCCGGTTTTGTGCTCAGGTTGGTCCTGGAGAGGTGGATGAAGAATTGGAAGAGGAAGTGGCAGGTGAGTGTCTCAAATATGGCACTGTAACACGAGTGCTTATATTTGAGATTACGGATCCTGCATGTCGACCAGTGGAAGCCGTTCGCATATTCATCACCTTTGATCGGACGGAGTCAGCTACCAAGGCTCTCGTCGACCTTGATGGAAGATTCTTTGGTGGAAGGACGGTACGGGCGTGCTTCTTTGATGAGGAAAGGTTTAATAAAAATGACCTAGCGCCAGGTCTAAATGAGCCTGCTGTTCCTGACTTTCAGAAAGCTTAGGCTGTCAGAATTGGATTTTGCATTCTGCCTCGGTAGTGGTATTGTGTTAAGAATGTATCAATTTTGTTTCTTGAAAGGTGTGTGTTTCCCACAGTCCGAAACTCTGTACGGCGTACATTCGTGTGGCGATGCGTTGGGGCTCCCTCATGAACGCCAACAGAGCTCATTTTCGATGCTGGTCATTTCATGATGTTTTTAGGCTTCAAGCAGCCTTCGATATTTGGTTGCTGCCATTCCAAAGACAAGCCAACTCCAATATCCACTAGCTGGCAGTTGTGCCGCTCCGCCATGATGACTCCCGATGAGAATGTTCTGAAGTCTGTGGAGAATAAGGAGGTGGGAATGCAGTTTGGTGATCCTCTTGTTAGGTGTTGTGTTTGTAGGGCTTACACTTGAATGCTGTACAGCCAAGAAAGTCGACAGTCAAGGATCTTGCGAAGAAATTTGACATCATCAAGCCTAATTTATTGGTTCAGGGAACCAAGGTCGTCTCTAGGGATTATGACGTAAGAATCTATCTGCTGCAAGCAATTCGCCATTGCCGCTGCTCGCCTGAATGCATCACGTAACTGACAGGACGCTGAGGGAAGGCTGACCAAGTCAGAATTGGAAGAACTGAAGACTCGCCTGGAAAAACTTCATCTTTTGCTGGATGGCAGCCAGCGTGATGAAGTCGGCTCAATCTTGGAGATTGTGAGCACCAAAAAAGTGCATGGAGTGGCTTTCAATGCAACAGTGGGTAAAGCTGTACTTTTCTTTCTCAGGTTGGCAAGGCTTTGCGCCGGAGGTCCAGCGATCGCTCGGAAAACAAATGGACGGAAATTTCGCTTAAGTCAACAGACCTGCAAAACCAGGCCAGTGCTATCATGTTATGGACGAGGGGAAGCCTTTTTGTCAAAGCTGTGCTAATATTCGTTGCCAGTTACAGGGAGATGATGATGCGCTTTTATCCCTGCTCGCATCAAAAGGGGAGGAGGTTTCGCGTCTTAAGGCAGAAGTGATGGAGCTCAAGTCTCGCATGGTGGGCGAGCGAGGGATTATGAGATACGAGATTCAAGGAAGTGAGGAGCTGGGGAGCCTCCTGTTCGTGGTTGCATTGTCTGATGATGTGGCGCACCCATCCCAGTGCAACATTCGCTGGTATCGATCCAGCAAAGATGGGAGGCATACTCAGCTTATCATAGGTATTGCGTTGTCAGCATACACCGTTCTCTTCTTTATCATTTGGACTGCACTTACCTCAAAACAAAATGCATTTGCAGGCGCGGAAGGGACTATGTATGCAACCGAGCCTGAAGATCTGGGCTGCGTCATTCAGGCGGCAATTGAGTCATCGTCAGCTTGTCAGGGAATCATGTTTCTGACAACAGGGGAGATCCAACCAGGTCAGATAACGTTGGGATTTAGACACATGAAGATTGTAACCGCGATTGACTTGTGTCTCTGCTTCCAGGGAGCATGTACGAGACACTGCTGGCTCAGACGGTTCTTCTTAATGACGTCCAGTTTTCGGTATGAACCCTTTTAGTTGCTCTTTAATTCGTGGATACAGTCAATCTGCAACTAAATCTTGTGTTCAGGTCGTCATATGCAACAATGATGGGAGCACAACTGCTAACGTCGATCAAGCTCTGTTGCGAATCAACAAGGCGCGGGTGAAACTGGTCACCACCTCAAACTCGTTGATCAGGAGAGAGTCGTATAACCAGGCAATGCAGGTAAGGCACCCCTGACTTGTCACAATGGGTGGCGTTTCTTATGGGGATTGAGGTGTGGCATTGGCAGTTTTATGGGCTTCGGTGGAGCACCAATTCTTCTTCTCTTGGTGCATGCTGGGTACCGCGCAAGGGTGTGATGTTCAACATCATGTTCCAGTCCATCACAGAGAGGAACATAGCCATCCAAGTAGCAAGGAGCTATGCCAGCAAACTGAAGGTGGGCATGAAGTACAACACGATGCATTGGCTGGACGCACTATTACGGTACAGTATCACCTAACTCGGTTTGCCTTTTCAGATTGATGTATCGGGCCCAGAAGGACATTTCCATGGTCACGATGAATGATAGGACTGAAGTGGATGGTGCAGAACTGGGGAGGGATGAGTAGCTCAAAGAAAAAGCACTATGGAGGATGTGAGATGTGAGGCGTAAGGGTGGGTGGGTGGGAAGAAATGGTGGGTTACTAGTTCAGGGGGTGGTGAGGCGGTTGTAAAACTCCTGTGCATAGGGACGCGGTAGGTGATTGTGTGTTTCGGGTACAATGCCAGCAGTAGCTAGCATGTAGCAGCAATCTTGTGTACACTACAATGTTTTACAATGTTAGTGCATAGAATATGGGTACAATGTAAGCACAAAGTTCTATTACTGTAAAATGGCCAGAGGACAGTGACATAAGATGTGTACCTCCCTGTCAAATGTTGTAGCCTGTAGTGAGGTTTGTCTTAGGGGGTACAAAACTTAGGGTTAGCTATATGTACCCCAACCAACATCAATGCACCATCCATTCTTCATTCTGACATGGTATCAGTTAGGTTAGGATCCTGTGGGATCCCGTTCCTCCGTTCTCCGTTCGAGCCTCCCGAGCCTGATCCTAGCTCTCATTCGTCCCGGTTCCGTTGTTACCGCGCGTAGTGCCGCGCCTAGCGCCACTCCTAGCGTCGCGTCCTGCCCGCCCTTTCCCCCTCGTCGCGCCCCTTTCCCCCCGTCGAGTCGCGCCCTGCCCCGTCCCGTCCCGTCTCCCCGTCCCGTCGCCCTGTCCCGTCTCCCCGTCCCGTCTCCCCGTCCCGTCGCCCTGCCCCGTCCCGTCCCGTCTCCCCGTCCCGTCGCCCTGTCCCGTCTCCCCGTCCCGTCTCCCCGTCCCGTCGCCCTGCCCCGTCCCGTCCCGTCTCCCCGTCCCGTCGCCCTGTTCCGTCTCCCCGTCCCGTCTCCCCGCCCCGTCGCCCTGCTCCGTCCCGTCCCGTCTCCTGCTCCGTCGCGTCGCCCTGCCCCGTCGCGTCGCCCTGCCCCGTCGCGTCGCCCTTCCCCGTCCCGTCGCCTCTGCTCCGTCGCGTCGCCCTGCCCCGTCGCGTCGCCCTGCCCCGTCGCATCGCGCCCGCCCTTTCCCCCGGCCCGTCGCCCTAGCCCGTTCTTCCGCTGCGGCTAAGTCCCCCCCACCTGAACCCTAATTTGCCTCTTACCTCCTGCTGTTACTCGCCTGCTCGTTCGCGTTAGTTCTCGCTATGGCGACTCCGCGAGTTCTTCGTTTCGACGCTGACGGTAGACCTCTTGACTTTTCCGTCTGGCTTCTTCGCGCTCGCCGTCTGTTAGAGAGTCAAGTCCAGGGGGGCGAGACCCTCTGGTCGCACGCTACTGGTGACCTCCCCGAGCCCCCCGAGCCTGCCGCTTTAGGTCCTGCCCCTGACGATGCTGCTACGGCTCGCTTTGCCCGTCAGCGCGCTGACAGGACGGCTTGGACGTTGCGTGACGCTGCGGCCTGCATCGCACTCAGCAGCCTCCTCCCTGAGTCAGAGGAGGTCCACTTCACTCAGGTTCGCACCGCTGCTGCGTACCTCACTGCGATTAAGGCCCGCTACTCTACTCCCGCTACTGTCTCTCTTGGCCGTCTTTTCCTCCCGTTCCTGTTTCCTGATCTCGCCTCGTTTGAGCGCTCTGCTGACTTGATCGCTCACCTCCGCTCGCTCGACGCTAGTTACCGCGCTGCTTGCACTGAGGCACAGCTTGCACTGCTTCCTCCCCCTATGGCGATCACTATCTATTTCATCGCCACTAGCCTCCCTGACCGCCTTGCTTCCGTTCGCGACGCGCTTCTGCTGAAGCACCCTAGTGAGCTCACCGTCGATGTCCTTGAGTCTGCACTCAAGGACGTCGAGAGCAACCTTCGCTCGGTAGCCGCTGCCTCTGGTGCTGTGCCCCCCCCACTCTTCCACGGGTGCACAGTCCCGCAGTTACCCACCTTTACTGCCTCACTTGCCACTGCCGCTACTGACGCGACTGCAGCTGCTGTTACGACTGCGTCGCGGTCCCGCGGTAGGAGTGGCAAGAAAGGCGGTTCTGGTGGTGGTAGTGGAGGTGGAGGCGGAGGTAGTGGAGGTGGCGTTGCGCCTGGCGGCGGTGGAGGTTCAGGGCCTGGAGAGGCGCCTCGTGCAGTGACTGGTGACTCCACTGCGCCTGCTAGTGGTGGCGACGCCCGAGTTCGTCAGTCGCCTCCTGTACTTCCTGCCCCGGTTGGTGGAGCAGCGGCGTGGTACCAGGCTCAGCGTCAGCAGCAGCTTCTGCAGCAGCAGCAGCCCCTCTCCTCCCAGCAGCCTCAGCAGCAGCAGCGGCAGCAGCTGGCTCCAGGGTCGGGGCTGCGTCAGACCCAGCGCGGTGCTGCTTCCACTCCCTGCACCTACCAGGTTCTGACAGGCCCTCGTCGTGGCCACCCTTGTGGCCGGTTTCACCCCCCTGGTCAGTGCTTTGCTCAGCTCACTGACACGGTTCGTTTGGTCTACGGGGTGGGTGCTCCTGCCCCTGACTGGCTGCCTCTTGTTCAGCGCTACGGCTCCGCTCTGTGGGGCATGTCTGCTGAGCAGTTAGTGGATCTGATTGGTACTCCCCATGCTATGTATGCTGTTGTTGACTCTAGTGTTTCTGACTCTGCTTACTCTGGTGTTGTTAGCTTAGGTGCTAGCCTTGCTCAGTTGCCTGTTGCTAGTGTAGGTTCTTGTGTAGACTCTAGTCCAGCGGCTACCTCAGAGGACGGTTCGCTGTCGTTCACGCTGGACTCTGGAGCCTCTCACTGCTTCTTTCGTGACAGCACGACACTTACGCCTCTTCCTGCGCCTGTTTCTGTGGCGCTGGCTGATCCCACTTCGGGACCAGTCACCGCGCGTCACACTACCACCTTGCCGTGTCCGGCTGCTCCTTCTGGGTCTCTCACTGGGTTTCACGTCCCCTCGTTCTCCCGGAACTTGGTGGGCGTGCGACCCCTTGTGAGTCAGCACGTGGGTGTGTGGTTTGAGCCTTCTGGAGAGACTGCGGTGTGTGTTGACGGGGACTCTTACCAGCCCCTCGCCACTTTTGCTGCTGAGCCGGGCTCCGGTCTCTACACTCTTCACACTGGCCCGCGCGCTCAGCAGCGACTGCAGCAGCAGCAGCAGCAGCCGCAGCAGCAGCAGCAGCAGCAGCCGCAGCAGCAGCAGCGGCAGCAGCAGCAGCCGCAGCCACAGCGGCCGCCGTCACAGCAGCCCCTCCTCCCAGTTCCTGTCCCTCCCCCTAGTCTCCTCCCTGCGTCTCACCAGGTGGTTCCGTCCCCTCAGGTTGTCGCGTCCAGTCCAGTCGCTGCGTCTTGCTCCTGTCGGTCGCTTGCCCACCCCACCGTTCTGTGGCACCACCGGATGGGACACCCTTCTCTTCCACGTCTGCGTGCTATGTCTAGTCAGCGTCTGGTCTTAGGTCTCCCGCGTGTCTTGCCGTCACTGCCGTCGTCCCTTGCACCACCGTGCGGTCCTTGCGTCGAGGGTAGGCTGCGTGCCACCCCTCACTCCTCCTCCCTTCGTCCGGCCACCGAGCCTTTTGAGACGCTGCACTTGGACGTCTGGGGCCCCTCTCCTCGCCCTGGCCCTGAGCGTGAGCGTTTCTTTTTGGTGGTCGTTGACGACTACTCCCGCTACACCACAGTGTTCCCCCTGGCGAGGAAGTCTGAGGTGACTTCTACGCTGATCAGGTGGTTGCTTACCACCCAGGACACTCGTGGTCGTCGTGTCAGCTGTCTCCACTCCGACCGCGGGGGCGAGTTTCGCTCCGGCATTCTCGCTGGATTCTGTCGCGAACAGGGCATTCGTCAGTCCTGGACGCTTCCGGAGTCCCCACAGCAGAATGGGGTTGCTGAGCGTCGCATAGGCCTGGTCATGGAGATTGCCCGCACCTCCTTGACTCACGCCCGTGCCCCCCATTTCCTGTGGCCATACGCAGTCAGGTACGCCGCGCACCAGCTGAACCTCTGGCCACGCGTCTCTCGGCCGGAGGCTTCACCGACCAGTCTTTGGACAGGGTCCCCTGGTGTCGCGTCGAGGTTTCGTGTCTGGGGGTGCTTGGCTCTTGTCCGCGACACCTCCGCGGACAAGCTCTCGCCTCGCGCCGTTCCTTGTGTCTTCCTTGGTTTCCCTGAGGACTCCTCTGACTTCACCTTTTACCACCCTCCCTCTCACCGGTTCTTTGACTCCCGTGACCCCGTACCGTCAGGTACCCCAGTCAGGTCTCCCAGGACAGCTCCCCCGCCTGCTCCCCCGGTACAGCCTCCCCCCCCTGGTCCAGCCCCGTCTGGTGTGTCTCAGGCTAGCCCTCCCCCTTCGGTAGCCCCCCCTGTACAGCCTCCCTCCCCACAGTCTTCCTCACCGCCTCCTGTAGGTGCTCCCTCTCGGGAGGTTGGTCCTACGACTGTCCCTGTACAGGTCTCTGGTTCTGGGGGTGCTGGAGTTGGAGCTGAGCCGCGGGTTGCAGAGGACTCTTCTCCTCCGGGGGCTGGTACTGGTCGTGCGGAGTCTGGGGGTGCTGGTGCTGCGTCTGGGGGTGAGGGTGTTCCGGTTTCTGGAGAGTGGGTCTGGAGCTGGGCGGTGTGGCTGGGTGTGGTGTGCTTGGTGCTTCGGAGGTCGACTCTGGGGCTGCCGCTGCCCCGGACACTACTCCTTCCCCCCACCCCTACCCGACCAGGTTCCAGGCTCGTGTTCGTCGTGCTCGTGAGGAGCAGTTGGAGTTGAGAGAGAGAGAGAGAGAGAGAGAGAGAGTTGCAGCGGCTCGGAGGAGCAGGAGCGACAGCAGCGGCAGCAGCAGCAGCAGCAGCAGGGGGCAGCAGCCGCAGGAGCAGCAGCAGCAGCAGCAGCTGCCGTCTCCTCCTCCTGTCTCGGGTCTTCGGACCCTTGGTCTCCCCTCTCCCTCTCCTTCCTCCTCCCCCTCTCCTCCCGTCTCTGGTCCTCCGCTTCCTCCTCCTGACCCCTCTCCCGCTGTTTTCCCTCGTTCTCAGTCTTCGTTGTCCCCTCCTCCTTCTCAGACTTGGGCCTCTCGTCGCTCCCCTCGTGCTCGTCCCTCGTCTCCTGTTCCCTTCACTGACCTTCGTACTGCCTTACTTCGTTCTAGTCCACCTCGTCCGTCTCCGTCTGTGCTTCCGTCTCCTCCTGAGTCGGCTCTCACTGCGTCGCTCCCTACTCCTGTCACTGACTACTACCGCACGTACCGTCCTCTTCTCTCTCGTGTTCTCGCCTCACTTGTTACTCACCCTCGTGCCTCTGTGTCCTCTGTGTCTGCTCTTACTGCCGCAGTCTTTGAGTTTGCCTCTACCCGCCGCCTTGACTTCGCCACCGCTCTTGTGGCTGCTCCTCCTTCCAGTCCTCTGGCCGTCGGGGGTGTGTCTGCCCTTGGCTGTGACGCCCTAGAGGACAGGCAGTTTGAGCTAGAGTTCCTGGCGGCCGCTTCCCCTCATCTCTGTGCCATGCTCCTCGCCCCTGAGGGTGACCCCGACGCCCTTGACATTCCGACTCCTCGCACTTACGCTGAGGCAGTGTCAGGGCCTTGGGCCTCTCAGTGGAGAGCTGCCATGGACGCAGAGATGGCCTCCTACAGATCCACAGGCACCTACGTCGATGAGGTTCCCCCTCCGGGGGCGAACGTAGTCGACGGCATGTGGATCTACAGGGTGAAGCGGCCACCGGGATCTCCTCCGGTCTTCAAGGCGCGCTACGTGGCTAGAGGTTTCAGTCAGCGCGAGGGAGTTGACTTCTTTCAGACCTTCGCGCCCACCCCAAAGATGACCACTCTTCGGGTGTTACTGCACGTAGCAGCACAGAGAGACTACGAGTTACACTCTCTCGACTTCTCTACTGCTTTCCTTCAGGGCAGTCTGCACGAGGAGGTCTGGTTGCGTCGTCCCTCTGCCTTCACTGGCTCTTTCCCTCCTGGGACCCAGTGGAGGCTGAGGCGACCGGTTTACGGTCTTCGTCAGGCTCCTCGTGAGTGGCACGACACCCTGCGTTCTACCCTGTCTGACCTTGGGTTCCAGCCGTCTTCTGCTGACCCGTCGCTGTTCGTTCGTCGTGGCCCCACACCTTTCTTTGTTCTGGTCTACGTTGACGACCTTGTTTTCGCCACCCCTGACAGGGTTGCTTTGGCACACGTGAAGTCCGAACTACAGAAGAGACACACCTGCACTGATCTTGGTGAGCTGCGCCACTACCTTGGCCTGCAGATCACCAGGGACAGAGCTGCTCGCACCATTACACTTTCACAGTCGCACATGGTGCAGCAGGTCCTTCAGCGGTTCGGGCTTCAGCACTCCACAGTACAGCGCACACCTCTTGCTGTTGACCACAGACTCACTGGACCCTTTCCTGACGAGCCGTTCGAGCCTAGTGGTCCCTACGCTGAGCTTGTGGGTTGCCTCATGTACCTGATGACTTGTACTCGCCCGGACCTCGCCTTCCCTCTCAGCGTTCTTGCGCGCTTTGTTGCGCCAGGGAGACACCGTCCTGCTCACTGGACAGCAGCTGTGAGGGTGGCGAAGTACCTAGCGACGACGTCAGGCGTGGGGCTAGTTCTTGGAGGGCAGCAGTCTGTCGTACTTACTGGTCACTGTGACTCCTCTTACGCTGACGACGCTGAGACTCACAGGTCTACTCAGGGGTACTGTTTCAGCCTGGGTTCTGGAGCTGTTTCCTGGCGGTCCACGCGCTCCTCTTCGGTCTCGACCTCTACAGCTGAGGCTGAGATCTACGCTGGTGCCATGGCGGCACAGGAGCTGCGTTGGTTGACCTTCTTGCTCACCGACCTTGGTGAGCGGCCGAGCTCTGCACCGACCTTGTTCACTGACAACAAGGCGTCTATTCTCCTTTGTCGAGAGCCACGACTGGAGAGCAGAGTGAAGCACATTCACGTCAGGTACTTTCTTCTGCGTGAGTTGCAGAGGCGTGGACAGGCTCGCTTTGAGTTTGTGGAGTCCGAGGCCAACACTGCAGACATCTTCACCAAGGCGCTTCCGCCTTGTGACCACCAGAGGTGCTGTGTGCAGTTAGGCCTTGTTGACACTGGTTCTCGTGTTGCTTAGACCTGAGTGTACTGTTTACTTTGCTTTCTATATATCTCTGTTACTTCTTGGACTGGCCTTGTGGCCACTGTTGTTTGTGCTCAGACTGCGTGGTGACGTTGTGATCCACCCTGAGCTTTGTTTCTTGGACTGGTCTTGTGACCGTACTCGTTTGGTTCTGCTAGACACCCCTCACTTAGGCTATGGGGGTGTGTCAAATGTTGTAGCCTGTAGTGAGGTTTGTCTTAGGGGGTACAAAACTTAGGGTTAGCTATATGTACCCCAACCAACATCAATGCACCATCCATTCTTCATTCGGACACTCCCCTCAATCAGCCACAACTAGTTTGCAACGTCTTGAAAAGGCCACACACACCTCCTGGACTGGACTACAACTTCTTGAAAGTCTGATATGTCTCTGCAGCAACAGGTTCACCAATGCTGGACTTGAGCCAGCACTCATTGCCCCATGTCGTAACAGCAAGAGCACACTGGGTGTTGACTTTGCAGAGCATCAAGCAGTCCAGTGCTTTGACAGGGTACTGATATTCCAAGGTCTCGCCAAACGGAAAATTGGTGGCCATGGGTGCCGGAGCAAATCCGTGGTCTGTTTCAGGGGACAAGTTGGGGGTGGATGGGTTAGTCGGGGGTGTCAAAGAAAGGTAACGCATACGAATTGACATTATAGCAAATAGTAGCTCTAGAGGCTTACCATGTGGGTTGATACAGCTTGACCTGTTCTTCCCCTCATTAGCTTGGCAGATGAATGAGCCACAGCCACCATTGTTGAAGGAACACGAGCCAGACTGTGAAGCCAGAACATCCCAGAACTGTAAGCTTGTGTCTAGGTACTCCTCCTCTGTAGTTGTATAAACTTCCGGGCTGATGGTCAGTTTTGTGCTTGGATCAACATAACCCTCAGGTATCCAGATTGATTCCTGCTGCTTTTTCCTGTAGTAGGAGGTGGCAAAGCTGCTGACACAGACGCCACTGGAACAGGTTCCTGAGTAGGAATTGCCTCCATTACCGAAACCAGTGCAGCTTGTACCATCTGCCTCAACCCCAGCATTGCCACACTTGCCGTTGACGCAGGTTGGTGCAATTGTACATGCCTTTGCACGGATCGCATAACACTTCACACACTTCACTGCACAAGGTTGCAATGTTCACAGGCAGAAGACACGTGGATGAAATAATGAGGCCCATAGTGTAATCAACAATAGAAGGGAGAGAAACAAAGAGAACAGCGTCACTCTCACCTTTTCCACATGGCATGTGCCCAAACTGCAGCGTGAAATCAACGACTCCTGTTGGGTCAAGCTTAGCAGCATCCTCCAGATTTATCGTGAAATCCAAAAAACCCCAGCGTCCCCACCAATCCATTCCCTGTCTTGAACGCATGCTCTGAAATCACATAGTGTGAATCTTTGAATTCTTCCAGTGCTGCTGCCTTGTCCTCTGTCCCAGGATCCACAAAAGTCACTGTGCTCCGATCATTCCCCTGAGCAGGCTTGGCATAGCTTGCGATGAACAGAGCAGTGAGAGTCCGGCTCGCGATGGTTTTTCGGGCAATAGTATCAAAATCCGATCTCTTTTTCAGGTGGGACAGCATTGGTGGGAAGATTTTCTTCCACCACTGTGAGACAAGACAGTGAGGAGGGCAGGACCAGGAAAAAAGGGCAGATGAGTTGGAAGACAGGGTGGTTGTTTCAAGAGGTGTATGCTCAGTGGTTGCTGTAAGAGCGCAGAAAGAACTTTAAAAGAAACGGGTGGGAACGGAAAATCCCCACCACACCACAAAAGAAATACACTGCAGACGGTTCACATGCTATTGTCTCACTTTTCCCAGCTGCTTCGCCACTTTAAAGGCAGGGTCGATGTACGGGTCGATCGCCGGCAGCTTGACCTTGTATGTCAGAAAAGTTATTGCGCTAGCCTGTAACGAGGACGTCAAAAGAGAGTTAGAGAAGGGAGGCCACTCAAAATTTGGTAAAAACTTAATGCCAAAAGAGGTGGAAAGCAGAGCCAACCTATATCTTGAGATCATTCACTACCCGGCAGCATGCATGCATTGCTCACTGTGATGCTTAGAACCTTTTGGGAAGTTGCTATCCATCTGCCTCCAGACAGTGTTAATGCACATGTTTTAGGAGGGGGAGCATCCGTAGCCACGATTCACCCATTGCCCTCAAAAAGGCACATTCTGATGCTTAAATTGTTTCAGGAAGTTGTGACTCACCTGCTTCCAGACAGCCTTGAGGCACATCTTGTAGGAAGAAGAGCAGCAATAACCGCAGTTCACCCTTTGCCCTCCAAATGGCTTACACCTCACCTGCCTCCAGTCAGTCTTAATGCACATTTTGTAGGAAGGGGAGCAGCCATAGCCGCAGTTCACCCATTGCCCTCCAAACGGCGCATAATGATGCTTGGACTTTTCAGGAAGTTGTGACTCACCTGCTTCCAGACCGTTTTGATGCATCTAGTAGGAAAGAGAGCAGCAATAGCCGCAGTTCACCTATTGCCGTCCAAATGGGTCAATGATTTTAACCTTTTGGGAGGTTGCAACTCACCTGCTTCCAGACCGTTTTAATGCACATTTTGTAGGAGGGGGAGCAGCCATAGCCGCAATTCACCCATTGCCCTCCAAACGCCGGGCAGCTGCGTATGCACACCTGCAGCCCAGGGTGGGGAGGCAGAGGGGGGGAAGGAAATGGGGGGAGGGGGAAGGTGAAAGGGGGGGAGAGGGGGGAAGTGGGAGACAGGGACAGGGGCAGTGGATATTGGGCAGTTGAGGGCAGCACACGGAAGGACGACTGCAGCCCAGTGGGTGGGGAGGCGGAGGGGGGGAACAGGAAAAGGGGTTAAGGAGAATGGGAGGAAGGGGGAGGCGGGAAGGGGAAATGGGGCAGGGAGAACCATGGCGGCGATAAGGGAAGTGGAAATCGGGCAGCTGAGCGCAGTTTACAGGGGGATGGGACGGCGAAGTGACGACGAGTGTGGGGCAACAGGAGAATGGGATGTGGGTGCGGAGAAATGGAGGGACATGAGCATGTGATGGGCGGCGACGGGCGGCAATAAGCGGTGATGGGCGGCAATGGGCGGCGACGGGCGGCAATAAGCGGTGATGGGCGGCAATGGGCGGTGACGGGCGGCAATAAGCGGTGATGGGCGGCAATGGGCGGTGACGGGAGGCGATGGGAGAAATGCTAGGGGAGGAAAGAAAGAGGGTGGGGGGAAGGGGTGAAAGGGTGTGGAGTGTGTGTGGGGAGCGAGGGAAGAAAGGAGGGGGGGGGGGAGAGGGGGGGGGGGTGGAGGGGGGGGGTTGCGTAATAATGCAGATTTATTACTCTTATATTTTGCTCGATTTTGACTCCCATGAGCGTTCCTCCCCCCCCTTCAACCCTCCCCAATTCCTGCCTCTCCGCCTTCCTCTTTCATATTCCCTAGGCAGCAAGCGCAAGTGTGACAAGCGCAAGTGTGGTACGTGTGCCTTACCGGTCCGATCCCGCGGAACCTTTTCGCGCATTTCTTGGAAGGCGGATTGCGCACGTAGGTTTCGCGGTAGCAGAACATGTACACGTTGGTGTAGTTGAACTTCAGACTTAGGTCATCGCGCCGCGCCGGCAAGTGCGCTTCGGGAAATCCGCCGTGGTGGCCGGAGAAAGCGTCAGGGGAAGTAACAGCTGGTGCGCGCTTCGACGGGAATGTTAAGGAGAAGAGGCGGCGCGAGAAGGAGCTGCAAGCAAGCTGACGCAGAAAGGACGGCGATGACGTGGCACGGAAGGGTCCGTTGTCGTCGACGATAACGCGTGAAGAAATGTCGTCGTTGAGAAAAAAAAATATACTCCTTTGTCCAGTGGTGCGATTCGGACCTCGACACTAAAAGGTAGTGATTTATAGAGCCGACAACGCTCGGCTCGGGGAGCTGAACAGGCCGCTGCACAGCAGGAGTTGAGGTCTAGGCGCAGATATTAGTAGGCGCAGACCTTAGTAGGCGCGGAGATTAGATGTACTGACTCCTGAGGTACTGTAAGCTGTGCTGGTTGTAGGTACGGCGCGTGGTGCGTGAAAGCGGATAATGCCGAAACACCGACAAATCGATGTGTGGAGTGGTGGAAGAAATGTGAAGATTGTCTCAAGAATTCTCGACGGGTGGAGGAGAGGAGAAGAAAGACACTGTGATGTGGCTGTCCGAAGAAAAGAACGATCAGCTGAACATGAGCGTCCTTGTCCAAGGCCAGGCCAGTTTGTGGCGCGTGAATCAACTGCAACTACAGTGTCTTTTGTGGAGCAAGGCAGATTTTCTGGGACTGGATGGAATGGTGTGGGGAAGAGATGGAGAGCGGGCGAGCCTTGGGGGCTGTGTGTTGTGCGTGGGTGAGGGCTAGGATGCGGCGGCGGCGGACATGATAAAGACCGTCGCCCTATTCGAAGAAGAATCTGGCGCAAGAAGTAGAGAGGAGGAGCTTCCGCGCCGCGTCATCCGATTGTGCGGTCGTGTGTGTTTTGTCTGCTTTTCACAGTGGTTGGGTGCGTTTCAGAACAGGAATTACAGTTTCTTGCGATTTCTGTTCATGTAACAGTGTAACACGCCTTGGTGGTTTGGTGGATGGGCTGGTTTACAGGGCGGTTGGGGGGGCCTTGGAGAAGGCGAGGGCCGCAAGGCATGGGACAACTGTTGTTCTGGGCCGAGCCGCGGATGTCCAACTAAGGAAACGGGCAGATGCACTTCAGTAGGTTTCGTACCCTGCGGAATTGCACGTTAAGAACTGGAATTTCACTAGTAGATGAAAAAAATAACTTGTAGATTAGTCTACTTAACTCATATTTCTAATCTACAAGTTCTAATATGATGATAACAACCCTGGTCCTTTCTGGGCAGCTTGTTTCGGCATTACCCTATTTCCCGCTAGTCAGTCAGCAGCCGCCAGTCGGGTAGGCCTACGCAACCCGACCCGAGCCGAGGCACCACGACTAGTAACATGTCAACAATCGCACAGCTCTTTGATTGGGTGGAACGGGTGCGACAAGGGCAAGCTGCCAATCATTCGTGGACGACCTTGCTTCCGCAATTCGATATCTTCGCAGTTAATGCTGGTTCCTACAGCTGTGTTTTGTAACGTCGCAAAGGCTTCTCGATGTGTTACAGTACACTTGCCGTTGCCCACATTCATGCGGGGCTGCACATTGACATAGATAATTGGCCATTTATGTAAAAAGCTCCTTTGTAAGACCCCAGCGGGGCTTGCTTCATGCATTGCAGCCTCTTGTGTTTAGCGAAACCGGTACAAAACGGTACGACAAAACCTCACACAACATCCACGTGTTGCTGACAGCTTTTGACCCGCCTCTGAGTCGATCGGGCCCCACTTCAAATGTGCTGGCAATTTTGAAAGGTTACCTCACCCAATCTTCGACAGCATCCAATCGCGCGGAGCCCCGTTCCACGTTCGCGGCTGGGACCACTTAGGCCGTGGTGATACCATCAGCTGACATGTGAATCCCCCGAATTCAAGATGCCTGCTGATGTAGTGGGAATACCTAAGATCCCTACAGCAGCAAGTCTCCATTTTCTTTCCATAACAGCAGAGATAGCAGCGAGCATCAACACTTGAAATCTCCCTCACGCCCTGTCGGTTTCATATCAACGCAGTCGAGGCCTCTGGTCTGTCTGTACAGTCGCTTGCTGCTGCTCTGCACCTTTTCTGTACATCCTGCTGTTGTTGCGTGTGCGCTTGATCGACCGCCATTATGGACCGTCTAGCCGTAATTTCTGGGCATCTGTGTCCCCAAGGCGCGACGAAGAAGAGCAGCAAGGTCGGCATCCATCTTGATACTGATACGTGTTTCCGCATGTGTCGTTTTCGGGTGTCCGTATGTGTCTTCGGAGTTTCTGATACGCACCACTGGTGTGTGAAATGCCAAACGTCGTCTAGCCTGCTGCCCATAGCTAAACGGCGGTTTTTTTCAATTCCTTTAATTACTCAAGCTCGCTTGTCTTACACCGCGTTTTATCGTTGTCGTCTTTTTGGTTTCACGGGTTGCTACCATCACGTGCATTGTCGAGTGCATTCTCACAAAGATTCCGCTTCACGTGGTAATTACCTCTTATATGATGCATTCGCATTTCAGATGCACGGGCTGTCGCACCGTCGCCGACGTTGTCGCTTATCAATACAGCCGATCCGCCGCGCTCAACTTTCACCCAGGCCCAGCCGGCCACCGTCTTCCCGCCGTCTAAGTCCGACTACTTCGGCCTGCACGACCTGCTGACACCCGAGCAGCAGGCTCTCCGGTTGCGTGTCCGAGAATTCATGGAGAGAGTCGTCGCTCCCATCGCACCAGCTGTAAGTTTTTCTCTAGTATTTCAAAGTTCATTGGCAAGATATCTGTTTTCTCACTGCGAGGCAAGGTCGTTAGGTAGCAGCTTCCAGTGTTGTGCGCTGATCTGTCAATGTCCGCCGGTCTGCATGTGTGCAGTATTGGGAGAAAGCGGAATTCCCACACGAGCTGGTGCCCCAGTTGGCCACGCTCAAGCTGGCTGGAACCACCATCAAGGTTAGTGTGTATCGGGTAAAGAGGGACAGACGTCACGGGCGAGTGGCAGTACTAAAACGGACTTCTCGTGGAGCTCAGAATATTCACGCCAAAATTGTCTGGCGGGAATCTATCAATGTTATCCGTCCCATGCAGCTGTGTCAGATGGACAGCTGCAGGCAATCAACTTGTTCAGCAGCAGTCTAAAAAAATGAGACTCAAGCCTGAATGGGCATTTGGAGTTTGAAACGAGCTGTCTAGTGGTTTGCAATGCTCTATTCCACGCTCACTCTCTCCCTTGCACTTTCACCCCTACATGCATCTACGTTATCAGGGCTACGGGTGTCCGGGCTTGTCAATGACAGCTGCAGGGGTAGCTGCAGCGGAGCTGGCTCGAGTGGATGCGAGCTGTGCCACTTTCATTCTCGTGCACAGCTGCCTCGGCATGCTCACCATTGGTACGTGTGAAGGCGTGCATCATCATTTATCATGACTACCCCTTGAGGGTATTGAGCTCGAGTGGATGCGAGCTGCGCCACCTTCATTATCGTTCACAGCTGCCTCGGCATGCTCACCATTGGTACGTGTGAAGGCGTGCATCATCATTTATCATGACTACCCCTTGAGGGTATTGAGCTCGAGTGGATGCGAGCTGCCACCTTCATTATCGCACCTTGCCATTATCACACCTGCTCGTGCTGCTCACCATTTGTACGTTCGAAGTGGCATCAACACTTGCTTATCATGACACGCCCTTGAAGGTCTTTTTGAGGTTGAGTGGATGCGAGCTGTGCCGCTTTCGTCCTCATGCACGGCTGCCTCGGCATGCTCACCATTGGTACGTTCACAGACCTGCATCACCAATGCTTGCAAGTACCATGCTATGCCCGCAAAAGTCTTGATGTTGAGTGGATGCGAGCTGTGCCTTGGCATGCTCACCATTGGTGAGTGTTGTCGACATGCCTCTACTAAGTTGCTTGGTACATACATACATTCCGTCCACATACTTATACGTGCCCCCATGACTGCTCTCTATTCTAAACCTGCTCACTTCTTCTTCACCCCTGTGTTGCTTGTGGTTCGCTCCTCTCTCTTTCTCTCTCTCTGGGGGCAGCGCTGTGCGGCAGTGAGGAGCAGAAGCAGAGGGATCTGCCACAGCTGGCTGAGCTCAAGAAATCGCCTGCTGGGTGAGGGCCTTGTTCTGGGGGGTTGGCTTGTGCTGGGAGAAATGGCTTGTGCTGGGGGGTGGCGGGTGTGTTGAGGGGAATTGAGAGGGGGGGTGTGCTGGGGATGGTCATGTATTTGTGTTTTTGTGCACAGAGTTTTGTTGGCTGAGTGATTTTGTGCCGAGTGAGTAATCAGGGCTGTGCTCTTGCCATATCTTGCTCCTCCTTGCCCTCTTCTTCCCGACCCATTAATGTCCCATCCCTTCAATGCCTCCGTTTCCCCTCAAAGCTTGACAGAGTTGGACTATGGCAGTGACGCCAGCGCACTCACCACCACGGCACGCAAGGTGCAACAGAACCTGCTCTTGGTTGTATTGTTTATCTAAATGCCTACTTTCCATATCCCTTTCCCTGATCCCTCCCTGCTCGTCCCTCAGGGCTTGACAGAGCCGGACTATGGTAGTGACGCCAGCGCACTCACCACCACAGCACGCAAGGTGCAGGGCGGATGGGTGCTCAACGGTTTCAAGCGGTGGATCGGCAACAGCACCTTTGCTGACGTCATCATCATCTTTGCCCGCAACACGTCGACCAATCAGGTCAACGGGTAAGAGTCGATTCTTCCTCTTTTTTTTTCATATTGTCCTGTGGTCATTGCCTGTGTTGTGACTCCTCCATCTGTCCATCTGGCTTTGCTTTGTCTGCATCATCTCCTCTCTGCCTCGCTCTGTCTCTCTGTGCCTGTGCCACTGTGCTCCCAAGTAACAGCCGTCTCCCTCCCTTGATACCTCATGCACTAGAAGTAACCTGGTGACCAATCGTACCTTCTCTGTGCCCTTCCTTTCCCTCTACCAGTTTCATCGTGCGCAAGGGTGCGAAGGGGTACAGTGCGGTGAAGATGGAGAACAAGATCGGGCTGCGGATAGTGCAGAATGGGGACATCACCCTAAAGGACGTGTTTGTACCAGACTGTGACCGCCTGCCAGGGGTGAATTCCTTCCAGGACACTAACAAGGTGAGAGGAAGGCAGGTTCGGTGCGGTACAGAGGGGTACAGTGCGGTGCGTTGCGGTACAGTACAGTATAGTGTCGTATTTGTGCAGAACGGGGATATCACCCTCAAGGACGTGTTTGTGCCGGACTGTGACCGCCTGCAGGGGTGAACTCCTTCCAGGACACCAACAAGGTGAGAGAGGGAGGCAGGTTCAGTGCGGTACAGAGGGCTGGCACATTCCCCCCACTCCCCCTCTCCCTTCAGGCTGGCAGTGTCGTGGGTGATGGTATCATGGGCTCCCGGTCGGCATGAGCATGGGCATCTACGACATCTGCCTGCGCTACCTGCACACCATGCCGCTCGCTGTCTCGCTCTCCCCCCCCCTCCCCCCTCTCCTTGTCCCTCTCCTCCCCCTACTGCTGCTCCTCAGGTCCTAGCAGTGTCACGGGTGATGGTATCATGGCTCCCAGTCGGCATGAGCATGGGCATATACGACATCTGCCTGCGCTACCTGCAGCAGCGCTCGCAGTTCTCCGCCGCCGCTCGCCTCCTTCCAGCTGTGCCAGGAGAAGCTGGTGCGCATCCTCGGCAACGCAGGCCATGCTCGCATGGCGGCTGTCCCAGCTGTACGACCAGGGGCGGATGACCGCGGGCCATGCCAGCATGGCCAAGGCGTGGATTACTCTTCGAGCGCGCGAAGCGCTGCTCTGGGCAGGGAACTGCTGGGAGGAAACGGGATTCTGGCTGAATTCCTGGTGGCCAAGGTGAGAGCCTGATACTTGTTGTCTGGAACCCAGAACCCGGAACCCAGGGCATGCCAGCATGGCCATGACATGGATCACCCTGCGAGCGCGCGAAACCGCTGCTCTGGGCAGGGAACTGCTGGGTGGAAACGGGATTCTGGCGGAATTCCTAGTGGCCAAGGTGAGAGTTTGATGCTTATGATCTGGTACCCAGAACCCAGAAACCCGGAACTCTGTAGTGGAAGAAACCCTAGGGAGAGTAGAGGCTCCTTCCAGCTGTGCCAGGAGAAGCTGGTGCGCATCCTGGGCAACGTGCAGGCCATGTCGCTGCTCGCTGGCCTGCCTCCCAGCTGTACGACCAGGGGCGGATGACGGCCGGGCATGCCAGCATGGCCAAGGCATGGATCACCCTTCGTGCCCGAGAAACGGCTGCTCTGGGCAGGGAGCTGCTGGGAGGAAACGGCATTCTGGCGGAATTTCTGGTTGCAAAGGTGAGAGCCTGATACTTGTGGTCTGGAACCCAGAACCCTCCGGGCTGTAGGAAGAGTAGAGCGTCCTTCCAGCTCTGCCAGGAGAAGCTGGTGCGCATCCTCGGCAACGTGCAGGCCATGTCGCTGCTGGCTTGGCGCCTGTCCCAGCTGTACGACCAGGGGCGGATGACGGCCGGGCATGCCAGCATGGCCAAGGCGTGGATCACCCTGCGTGCCCGAGAAACGGCTGCTCTAGGGAGGGAGCTACTGGGGGGAAACGGCATTCTGGCTGAATCCTAGTGGCCAATGTGAGAGCCTAACTCTATGTTGAAAGAAACCCTGGGAAGAGTAGAGGCTCCTTCCAGCTCTGCCAGGAGAAGCTGGTGCACATCTCGGCAACGTGCAGGCCGCTGTGCCTGTGACTAATCTATTCTCCCTCTGTTCCATTCCTCCTTGCAGCACTTTTGCGATCTGGAGCCAATCTACATGTACGAGGGCACGTACGACGTGAATGCGCTTGTGACTCAAAGACTTGCTACCTTTCCTCCCCCACCTGCACCCGTGCTTATTCCTTGCAGCACTTCTGCGATCTGGAGCCCATTTACACTTATGAGGGCACGTACGACGTGAACGCGCTTGTGACGGGGCGGGAGGTGACGGGGATTGCAAGCATCAAGGCGCCTCCTGCACGCAAGGCCAAGGACAACGGCAAGGGCATGCTGTGAGGTGTGGGGGGAGGAGAGGATGGGAGGGTAAGGTGGAAGGGGTTGGAGGGAGGAGACGATGTGAATGCGCTTGTGACGGGGCGGGAGGTGACGGGCATTGCAAGCATCAAGGCGCCTCCTGCACGCAAGGCGAAAGACAATGGCATGCTGTGAGGGTGTGACCGATGTGAATGTGTGGAGGAGGATGAAGTGAAGGCAGTTTCATGAAGAGCGCAGAAGAATCACGAAGAGGAGTGCATGATAGGCGTGCTGTGGGTTTTGAATCATGAAGGGGTTTTGTGATCAGACTTGTGAAATGTTTGTGATTAGTACTGGTATGTAACGTGCTGTACAGTTCTCATTGTGGGATAAAGTACAATCTGCTGAATCAGATCTTATCACTATTCTGATCCCCATTCTTGTTGGGTACCTATGGCACGTATACAAAGCGAATCCTCTCTCATCTGCAGTTGCAACACACCGCTGGAAATTGCACGTACATGGGAATATGGTATGTGGAAATAAAATCAACCCATGTTCTTCTTTTTATAGCCAGGTCTTTCATGACTGCGTCACACTTGTTACAGCACCACATGCCCTCTAAAGTGCATCGAGTGTGCTCTTAGGAGGTGCTTGAACCATAGAGCAGATGCCTTGGGAAATCTTGGGAGTGAAGGGTCTGTGAAGTTGACAAACACTGCACCGAACCTCTCTGAAAACCCCATGGCCCACTCCCAGTTGTCCAGAAGAGACCAGGCATAGTATCCTTCCACAGGCACGCCTTGCCTGCAACAAGGGGAAAGGGTGGTGAGAATTTTAGCACAGATCAGGATATTGGTTCCAAATTAGTCAAGAACAGTGCACCGCACCCATTCCCAGTTGCCCAGAAGCGACCAGAAGCGACCAGGCATAGTATCCCTCCACGGGCACGCCTTGCCTGCACAAGACATGGAGAAAAAAAGAGCTGAATGCTGGGTGATAAGATCCTGAGATTGCCGCAGTAAGGGAACGAGAGTACAAGCAACAAAGAAAACACATGTGCTACTAGGAGGAGAGAGGGTGGGAGAAGGTGGGAGAAGGGGGGAGAGGGGGGACTGCTGTGCTCTTGGGATGGAACATGTTGGAGAGGTGGGAGCAATATAGAGAGGGATCGAGAGAGAAGGCATCAATCGGGGTAGCCCTTGAACCGCTTGGCTCGGAGCACACTGGAGGGGTAGAATCAAACTCGATGGTTGTCACAGAGTGAGCGGGCGAGTGAGGTGGTGAAGAAGGGGGTGGGGGAAAGGGAGGAGGGGGGATGGGATGCGAGCATCCCGCTTGGCTTGGAGCACACTGGAGAGGTAGAAGCGAAAGCGCTGGTCGTCAAGGAGGGAGCGGAGGAGAAGGATGATTGAAGGATAGGGGGGGAGGGAGCGTATCGTTTGGCTTGGAGCACACTGGAGAGGTAGGAACGGTAGAAACGAACGTGCTGGTCGTCACAGAGGGAGCGGACGACTTGTGAGACGACTCGAAGGAGGGAATGGGGGGGGAGGAGGGGGTGATGGGATGTGAGCGTACCGCTTGGCTTGGAGCACACTGGAGAGGTAGGAGCGGTAGAAGCGAACTCGCTGGTCGTCACAGAGGGAGCGAGCGAGTGAGCGTGATGGGAGGTTTGGCTCGCTCATTCCTGGTGTACAGGGAACGGGGAGAACACGTGGAAATGCGTCGCACCATGTGGCATAAACAAGTAAAAGAATGGATTCCATGTGCATGTACTGGTTGAAAATGAAGAGCACGTGTATGGGTGAGTCAACAGCCGTACGATGCTCTTCCTATGATACTGTAACTGATAGAAATAAACGAAAATGGAGTGTTACCATTCTCAGTGATGATGATGGGGATGGACGGATATCTGTGGCTGATCCACGTCAGCATGTGCTGGACGGCTGCTAGAAGCGAACTCGCTGGTCGTCACAGAGGGGCGAGCGAGTGAGCGCGTGATGGGAGGTTTGGCTCGCTCATTCCTGGTGTACAGGGAAGGGGAGAACACGTGGAAATGCGTCGCACATGTGGCATAAACAAGTAAAAGAATGGATTCCATGTGCATGTACTGGTTGAAAAATGAAGAGCACGTGTATGGGTGAGTCAACAGCCGTACGATGCTCTTCCTATGATACTGTAACTGATAGAAATAAACGAAATGGAGTGTTACCATTCTCAGTGATGATGATGGGATGGACGGATATCTGTGGCTGATCCACGTCAGCATGTGCTGGACGGCTGCTGGCACACGTGCAGCCATGATGATGCTGTGCGCTCCCTATAAGCTTCCCCGTTACAGGAGACACAGCTGGAAGAAGCAGGGTGTAATGGAGTACACAGGTGATGGTTGCTTAGGAAGTGAGTGCGAGAGGAGGAGTGGAGGTGATGTGGGGAAATGGGAATGACGATTGAGGATGAGGAATGGGATTGTGGTGGTGAGTGTGATGTATGGGGGGAAGGAAAAAGCAAGAAAGACATAGAAAAATGGAAAGAGAATCGCTCCGGTGAGACAGAGGGGCGTATTAGTGGGCTTATGGCACTCACCTGTCATCCTGTCTTATCCACGGCAGCTCCATCCACGGAGCCACCCCACCAGCCACCTGCCACGTCAGCTTCCCCTCCACTCTGAACCGTTTTCTGGGCGGCACAAACTGAGCGGTGTTGTAGAAGTTGAGGCCTATGAAATCCGAGGAGCCAATCAGGAGCGAGGATTCGGCGGCAGGAAAAGGACGGGAGACGCGAGCTGACAGCCTGGCGCATGGAGGGCGGGTAGTCACCCTTGAAGAGAGGATCTGCAAACCTGGTGTGGGGGGAAGGGGAGAAGGGAGGAGGAAGCATTTGTCAGATTTGAGTACAGGGGAGGGGGAGAGACGGCTCGTGGTTCAAGCAACAGACAGCCTGGTGCATGGAGGGCGGGTAGTCACCCTTAAAGAGAGGATCTGCGAACTGGAAGATGGTAGGTTGGAAGCAGAATGGGAGAGATGTAGAGGGATGGAGAGCGGTTAGAACAGGTGTCTGTTGAGTCCAGTGAACGTCGTTCTAGAGGAAGTTCGAACCTGGTTGGTGGAACAAGGAGGGAAAGTGGGAATGTGCTGTTGATTTGCGGATAGGAGAGGTTTGAGAAAGCCAAGAGGGAGGGAGGAAACAACAATGTGGTGACAGCCTGGCACCCACCCATCCACTCACCCGCCCACCCGCCCACCCACCCACCCACCTCTTCAACCACCTCTCCACCCATCCACCGGGCAAAGGCAAACTCCATCCATCGTTGAGACGCGTCCGCACTCCCTCGACTCCCATTAGCCGCATACACGGTAATGGCAGTGGTAATGGTAATGGTAATGAAAATGGTAATGGTGAAGGTAATGAAAATGGCAATAGTAATAGTAATGGTAATGGTAATGGTAATGGTAATGGTAGTGGTAATGGTAATGGTAGTGGTAATGGTAATGGTAATGGTAGTGGTAATGGTAATGGTAATGATAGTGGTAATGGTAATGGTAGCGGTAATGGTGATGGTAATGGTAATGGTAATGGTAATGGTGATGGTAATGGTAATGGTAATGGTAGTGGTAATGGTAATGGTAGTGGTAATGGTAATGGTAATGGTAATGGTAATGGTAATGATAATGGTAATGGTAATGATAATGGTAATGATAATGGTAATGGTAATGGTAATGGTAGTGGTAATGGTAATGGTAATGGTAATGGTAATGGTAATGGTAATGATAATGATGATGATAATGGTAATGGTAATGTAATGGTAATGGTAATGTAATGTAGTATCGGTAATGATAATGATAGTGTGGTAGTGGTAATGCTTATGGGCCCTCCCTGCTACTCCTACAAGCCTCAACAAACAGAAGCTACCCACCCACCACCCACCCACCCCCCACCCACCCACCCACCCCCCATGCAAAGGCGAACTCCATGCCTCTTTGCGCCGCGTCCACACTCCCCGGGTGCCATGGCCGGGTACAGAAACACACAGTCCATCGTCATGCCTATGCCCCCTCGTACACACCAACCCCTCCGCTCACCAGGAGAATGCGAACTCCATGCCCCGTTGAGCCGCATCCACGCTCCCGCGGGTGCCATTGGCCGGTACAGGAAAAACACAGTCCATCGTCATGCCTATGCGCCCCCCTCCTCCCCATTGCTGCCGTATCTCCTCCGATAGATGGCCACAGCAGCGGCATGGGCGAGCAAGATGTGGTGCGCAACGGGTTTAAGGTTCAACGGACGAGTCTCCTTTCTCGCATGCAGAACGGTTGGAGCAGCGGCCTGGTGCCATGGTGCCATAGCCGTAGCCTGTACGGCAGTCTGCTGCGGCTCGTTGAATGTGATCCACGTCTTCACCCGGTCACCGAAGCGAGCGAAACACACGTCCGCGTACCGGACAAAGGCTTGCCTGTGGGTGGGGTGGGGGGGGGTGGGGGGGAAGGGTATGTGATACCGAGAGTGAGGGGGAAACCAGAGAGAAGGAAAAAGTAACACACGTCCGCGTACCGGACAAAGGCGTGCCTGTAATCAGAAGGGGATGAGTGAGCGGCTGTGTTTGGAGGAGGTAGGATAGAAGGTATGCGAAACAAAAAAAAACACAGGCATTTCGAAGAGAGATAAGTCTGAAAATATCATGTGGGCGATAGTGTTTGGGATAGCTGGAACAGCAGCCATGCATTGGCTCAATGCATGGACAGCAGTACTTTCTCTCAGTGACTCCACTCACACGATGCTCGCGTTGAGCCAGCCCCCGTGTGCCTCGTGCAGGTGCGACGGTAGGTCCCTCCCATTGAGACAATGCTGACTTCAGACAATGCTCCCGTTGAGCCAGCCCCCGTGTGCCTCGTGCAGGTGCGGCGGCGTGACTGACAGCAGGGTGACCATTCACACTCTTACTATACTCTCCAGAAGCAACAAACCCCAATGCTTCCACCACTCACACAATGCTTCCGTTGAGCCAGCCCCCATGTGCTCATGCAGGTAAGAGGGCAGGTCACAGTGGCACAGGGTGACTCGTTTGCGACATTGAAAATTCAGTAGCAGCGATACACTCCTTCCTCTAGCCCCCCACTCACACGATGCTCCATTGAGCCACCCCCCATGCGCCTCGTGCAGGTGCAGCGGCAGGTCCCAGTGGTACAGCGTGACAGCTGGCGCGATGCCATTGGCCAGCAGCTCATCTATGAGGCGGCTGTAGTGCTGCAGTCCCGCCTCGCTCACTGCGCCGATACCATCTGCGGATAGAGTGTAGGGGCAGGGAAGAGGAGAAAGGAAGGGAAGGAAGGGGGGGAGGCAGAGAGGAGATGCACCCCTGCAGCTCATCTATTAGGTGGCTGTAGTGCTGCGGCCCTGCCTCGCTCACTGCCTCCTATGCCATTTGCGGATAGAGAGTAGGGGCAGGGGAGAGGGAGGGAGGAATGGGAATGGGGGGAGGCAGAGAGGAGATACACCCCAGCAGGTGGTCTATGAGGCGGCGGTAGTGCCTCAATTCAGTCCTACCTCAATTCAGTCCTACCTCAATTCAGTCCTACCTCAATTCAGTCCTACCTCAATTCAGTCCTACCTCAATTCAGTCCTGCCTCAATTCAGTCCTGCCTCAATTCAGTCCTGCCTCAATTCAGTCCTGCCTCAATTCAGTCCTGCCTCAATTCAGTCCTGCCTCAATTCAGTCCTGCCTCAATTCAGTCCTGCCTCAATTCAGTCCTGCCTCAATTCAGTCCTGCCTCAATTCAGTCCTGCCTCAATTCAATCCTACCTCAATTCAGTCCTGCCTCAATTCAGTCCTGCCTCAATTCAGTCCTGCCTCAATTCAGTCCTGCCTCAATTCAGTCCTACCTCAATTCAGTCCTGCCTCAATTCAGTCCTGCCTCAATTCAGTCCTGCCTCAATTCAGTCCTGCCTCAATTCAGTCCTGCCTCAATTCAGTCCTGCCTCAATTCAATCCTGCCTCAATTCAGTCCTACCTCAATTCAGTCCTACCTCAATTCAGTCCTACCTCAATTCAGTCCTACCTCAATTCAGTCCTACCTCAATTCAGTCCTACCTCAATTCAGTCCTACCTCAATTCAGTCCTGCCTCAATTCAGTCCTGCCTCAATTCAGTCCTGCCTCAATTCAGTCCTGCCTCAATTCAGTCCTGCCTCAATTCAGTCCTGCCTCAATTCAGTCCTGCCTCAATTCAGTCCTGCCTCAATTCAGTCCTGCCTCAATTCAGTCCTGCCTCAATTCAGTCCTGCCTCAATTCAGTCCTGCCTCAATTCAGTCCTGCCTCAATTCAGTCCTGCCTCAATTCAGTCCTGCCTCAATTCAGTCCTGCCTCAATTCAGTCCTGCCTCAATTCAGTCCTGCCTCAATTCAGTCCTACCTCAATTCAGTCCTACCTCAATTCAGTCCTACCTCAATTCAGTCCTACCTCAATTCAGTCCTACCTCAATTCAGTCCTACCTCAATTCAGTCCTACCTCAATTCAGTCCTGCCTCAATTCAGTCCTGCCTCAATTCAGTCCTGCCTCAATTCAGTCCTGCCTCAATTCAGTCCTGCCTCAATTCAGTCCTGCCTCAATTCAGTCCTGCCTCAATTCAGTCCTGCCTCAATTCAGTCCTGCCTCAATTCAGTCCTGCCTCAATTCAGTCCTGCCTCAATTCAATCCTACCTCAATTCAGTCCTGCCTCAATTCAGTCCTGCCTCAATTCAGTCCTGCCTCAATTCAGTCCTGCCTCAATTCAGTCCTGCCTCAATTCAGTCCTGCCTCAATTCAGTCCTGCCTCAATTCAGTCCTGCCTCAATTCAGTCCTGCCTCAATTCAGTCCTGCCTCAATTCAGTCCTGCCTCAATTCAGTCCTGCCTCAATTCAGTCCTGCCTCAATTCAGTCCTGCCTCAATTCAGTCCTGCCTCAATTCAGTCCTGCCTCAATTCAGTCCTGCCTCAATTCAGTCCTGCCTCAATTCAGTCCTGCCTCAATTCAGTCCTGCCTCAATTCAGTCCTGCCTCAATTCAGTCCTGCCTCAATTCAGTCCTGCCTCAATTCAGTCCTGCCTCAATTCAGTCCTGCCTCAATTCAGTCCTGCCTCAATTCAATCCTACCTCAATTCAGTCCTGCCTCAATTCAGTCCTGCCTCAATTCAGTCCTGCCTCAATTCAGTCCTGCCTCAATTCAGTCCTACCTCAATTCAGTCCTGCCTCAATTCAGTCCTGCCTCAATTCAGTCCTGCCTCAATTCAGTCCTGCCTCAATTCAGTCCTGCCTCAATTCAGTCCTGCCTCAATTCAGTCCTGCCTCAATTCAGTCCTGCCTCAATTCAGTCCTGCCTCAATTCAGTCCTGCCTCAATTCAGTCCTGCCTCAATTCAGTCCTGCCTCAATTCAGTCCTGCCTCAATTCAGTCCTGCCTCAATTCAGTCCTGCCTCAATTCAGTCCTGCCTCAATTCAGTCCTACCTCAATTCAGTCCTACCTCAATTCAGTCCTACCTCAATTCAGTCCTGCCTCAATTCAGTCCTACCTCAATTCAGTCCTACCTCAATTCAGTCCTACCTCAATTCAGTCCTACCTCAATTCAGTCCTGCCTCAATTCAGTCCTGCCTCAATTCAGTCCTGCCTCAATTCAGTCCTGCCTCAATTCAGTCCTGCCTCAATTCAGTCCTGCCTCAATTCAGTCCTACCTCAATTCAGTCCTACCTCAATTCAGTCCTGCCTCAATTCAGTCCTGCCTCAATTCAGTCCTGCCTCAATTCAGTCCTGCCTCAATTCAGTCCTGCCTCAATTCAGTCCTGCCTCAATTCAGTCCTGCCTCAATTCAATCCTACCTCAATTCAGTCCTGCCTCAATTCAGTCCTGCCTCAATTCAGTCCTGCCTCAATTCAGTCCTGCCTCAATTCAGTCCTGCCTCAATTCAGTCCTGCCTCAATTCAGTCCTGCCTCAATTCAGTCCTGCCTCAATTCAGTCCTGCCTCAATTCAGTCCTGCCTCAATTCAGTCCTGCCTCAATTCAGTCCTGCCTCAATTCAGTCCTGCCTCAATTCAGTCCTGCCTCAATTCAGTCCTGCCTCAATTCAGTCCTGCCTCAATTCAGTCCTGCCTCAATTCAGTCCTACCTCAATTCAGTCCTACCTCAATTCAGTCCTGCCTCAATTCAGTCCTGCCTCAATTCAGTCCTGCCTCAATTCAGTCCTGCCTCAATTCAGTCCTGCCTCAATTCAGTCCTGCCTCAATTCAGTCCTGCCTCAATTCAATCCTACCTCAATTCAGTCCTGCTGCAATTCAGTCCTGCCTCAATTCAGTCCTGCCTCAATTCAGTCCTGCCTCAATTCAGTCCTGCCTCAATTCAGTCCTACCTCAATTCAGTCCTGCCTCAATTCAGTCCTGCCTCAATTCAGTCCTGCCTCAATTCAGTCCTGCCTCAATTCAGTCCTGCCTCAATTCAGTCCTACCTCAATTCAGTCCTACCTCAATTCAGTCCTACCTCAATTCAGTCCTACCTCAATTCAGTCCTACCTCAATTCAGTCCTACCTCAATTCAGTCCTACCTCAATTCAGTCCTGCCTCAATTCAGTCCTGCCTCAATTCAGTCCTGCCTCAATTCAGTCCTGCCTCAATTCAGTCCTGCCTCAATTCAGTCCTGCCTCAATTCAGTCCTGCCTCAATTCAGTCCTGCCGCAATTCAGTCCTCCTGCCCTGCCTCAATTCAGTCCTGCCTCAATTCAGTCCTGCCTCAATTCAATCCTACCTCAATTCAGTCCTGCCGCAATTCAGTCCTGCCTGCCTCAATTCAGTCCTACCTCAATTCAGTCCTACCTCAATTCAGTCCTACCTCAATTCAGTCCTGCCTCAATTCAGTCCTGCCTCAATTCAGTCCTGCCTCAATTCAGTCCTGCCTCAATTCAGTCCTGCCTCAATTCAGTCCTGCCTCAATTCAGTCCTGCCTCAATTCAGTCCTGCCTCAATTCAGTCCTGCCTCAATTCAGTCCTGCCTCAATTCAGTCCTGCCTCAATTCAGTCCTGCCTCAATTCAGTCCTGCCTCAATTCAGTCCTGCCTCAATTCAGTCCTGCCTCAATTCAGTCCTGCCTCAATTCAGTCCTGCCTCAATTCAGTCCTGCCTCAATTCAGTCCTGCCTCAATTCAGTCCTGCCTCAATTCAGTCCTGCCTCAATTCAGTCCTGCCTCAATTCAGTCCTGCCTCAATTCAGTCCTGCCTCAATTCAGTCCTGCCTCAATTCAGTCCTGCCTCAATTCAGTCCTGCCTCAATTCAGTCCTGCCTCAATTCAGTCCTGCCTCAATTCAGTCCTGCCTCAATTCAGTCCTGCCTCAATTCAGTCCTGCCTCAATTCAGTCCTGCCTCAATTCAGTCCTGCCTCAATTCAGTCCTACCTCAATTCAGTCCTGCCTCAATTCAGTCCTGCCTCAATTCAGTCCTGCCTCAATTCAGTCCTGCCTCAATTCAGTCCTGCCTCAATTCAGTCCTGCCTCAATTCAGTCCTGCCTCAATTCAGTCCTGCCTCAATTCAGTCCTGCCTCAATTCAGTCCTGCCTCAATTCAGTCCTGCCTCAATTCAGTCCTGCCTCAATTCAGTCCTGCCTCAATTCAGTCCTGCCTCAATTCAGTCCTGCCTCAATTCAGTCCTGCCTCAATTCAGTCCTGCCTCAATTCAGTCCTGCCTCAATTCAGTCCTGCCTCAATTCAGTCCTGCCTCAATTCAATCCTACCTCAATTCAGTCCTGCCTCAATTCAGTCCTGCCTCAATTCAGTCCTGCCTCAATTCAGTCCTGCCTCAATTCAGTCCTACCTCAATTCAGTCCTGCCTCAATTCAGTCCTGCCTCAATTCAGTCCTGCCTCAATTCAGTCCTGCCTCAATTCAGTCCTGCCTCAATTCAGTCCTGCCTCAATTCAGTCCTGCCTCAATTCAGTCCTGCCTCAATTCAGTCCTGCCTCAATTCAGTCCTGCCTCAATTCAGTCCTGCCTCAATTCAGTCCTGCCTCAATTCAGTCCTGCCTCAATTCAGTCCTGCCTCAAATCAGTCCTGCCTCCTTCAGTCCTGCCTCAATTCAGTCCTGCCTCAATTCAGTCCTGCCTCAATTCAGTCCTGCCTCAATTCAGTCCTGCCTCAATTCAGTCCTGCCTCAATTCAGTCCTGCCTCAATTCAGTCCTGCCTCAATTCAGTCCTGCCTCAATTCCGTCCTGCCTGCCTCAATTCAGTCCTGCCTCAATTCAGTCCTGCCTCAATTCAGTCCTGC